CCCCTGGCCTCCTGGATGAACTGATCTGTCTCTTCCCACAGGGTCTCCTCTGGGGTCTACGAGCCAGTCGTGATTGAAAGCCATTGAGGAGCCGGTGTCCAGGCTGGAGAAGGGCCCCGCCTTTGCGGGTGTCCAGATCCGTGTCATTCCACGAGGGTCCTTCCCCTTTGGATCACCATCCACTCTGCATCTCATCTGTGCCTCCTCCATTTACTCCAGCCCACTCCTGCCCCAATGCATCATTCCATTGTCCTCCCATCCATGCTGGGACCTTCCTGGCCTAGGGCCTGGGCACCACTGTGAATATTCTTCTCTGAACCACTAGAGGGCAGGCCCATGAAGTAGGTGGGCAAGGCCAAGATGGCCAGGACGCCCTGCTGGAGCCCCACCTGGCCCCTCGATGAGGACATGCAGCTGCTCCTGCACACGCGGAGCTGCTTGTGGCCGAGGGGCCTCTTGCCCTGTGTCCCCACTCACTCTAGGAGCACCAGCTCAACATGCCCTGGCAGGGCTCTGTTCCATTGCCCCCTTGCCCTTGGGGGCCAGTTCACCCCCAGAATCCTGCCACTGTGGCCCTCTGACTGCTTAGTGCTTCAGCTATCCCTTCCTTGTGCCCTGGGGGACCCGCTGGCGGTCTCCTCCTGGGAGCCAAGACCTCAGACCCCTCCCACACTCCAGTTTGAGACTCCCTCCCCCAACGAATGTTCTCCTGCTGCCCGGGCAGCCTGCACTTTGCACATGCTTGTGTCCAGCACAGCCCCACCGGCCCTCGCCTGCCCTCCCTCTGATCCCTTCCTAAGGATTCCTGGGCACTGCCTGCTGTGCAGCCAGCAGCCCAGCCCTAGCAGCCCGGCTGGAACGTGGCGCCACCTCTCCTCCCTCCAGTTCGCTGCCGCTCAGGCCTGAGAGCCATGCTGAGAAAGGTCTGAGCTTCGAAGATGGTTCCCCTCTGCCCAGGGCTGGGCCCTGAGCAGCTGGTTTCTTGTAGAAAGCCAGGAAGGTGCCTCCCCAGCCCTTGGAGGTCTGGGGCTTGACTGGGCTGGGCAAGCACCACCCCTTTTCTCTCCCCTCAGGGTCAGCTGGCCCAGGCTGAGGCCACTGCTGGAGGGGCAGATGGGCTGGGACTGGACCAGCTGGAGCTGGCTTCCTGACCCCCAAAGCCTGACCCCTCCTCTGAAAGCTTCCCCTCTCTGGGCAAGGGGTCCTTTATGGGGGTCTCTGTGGGGAGCAGTCTGGCCCTGCCCCTGCCCCTCACTGAGCCTCCGCTCTGAGCACTTTCCTCCCTGGCCTCGTTACTTGCTTGAAGGTGGTGCTGGCTGCCAGCCAGGCCCGGACAGATCCCCTGCCGCTCCTAATTTCACCCGTTTTTGTATAAACCCAGCAGGCTGGTGTTTACCCTACACTTCTTTTCTTCTCTTTTCGCCCTTCCTTTTTTTGGGTTCGAAGTTAGGTATTTTTCCTCCTCCAGGTGAGGGGAGGTGGTTCTGTTCTCTGCCCCGCCCACTGACTGGTCCCAGCAGTGCTGGCGATCTGGACGGGGGCGGGTTACTGCTGCTCCCTCTGGTAGGGTGGGGGTGAGGGTGTCCTCCCCGGGCTGGGAGGGCCCTTGTCCTTCTGCCCCAGCTGGCAAGAGTTGGAGTCTTGGTCTTGGAACCTCCCAGCATTGGGCCAGAACATTTCTAGGATTCTGTTGTTTTTAATCACCTAACCCTTTCAGGAAATGAATGTTAGACCGTGCCTGCCGAGGCAGGATGGAGCGCTTGCTCTGGCTGGAGAAGGCTCTGGTCAGCTCTGTGGGTCCCTTCCTGTCCCGTCGACACCCGGCACTTTAAAAGGGGATTGGCTGCACTGTCTCCACATGTAGTGACCCCCAGAAGATGGGGTACCGCCCTTCCCCCCTGTGTCTGCAGGACCTCAGCCCAGTGGGAAGGTGTATTTGGTGTCTGATTCAGTTCTGGGGCTTTTGGGCATAAAACAGCTGGCTTCGGTGCTGGTGGGGAGACTCCCCAAACTAGGAACCCCAGCCTCACTCCAGATGAGGTCTGAACTTGACAGTCACCCCAGGAGACAGAGCCTGCCACATCCTCCCATGCCGGGCCCTGGGCCAGGGAAATTGGACTGCGAATTTGGCTATAACCAAATTAATGTTGGCTGGAGCTGGAGGCCTAGAGCCCTGGCCCCATCCCCATGTGGGAGCCCTCCGGTCCCCTCAAGCTCAGTGACTTCCCACTAGGCGCCCACAGCTCCTAGACTTAAAATTCTATAGAGAGAGAGAGAGAGAGAGAGAGAGAGAGAGAGAGGAATATATTAGAGATATTTTTGGAAAGGAATTGGTCTATGCAATGTCAGTTTGGAATCTTGGAAGACAGTTTAACGTTTTTACTGGGAGATTTAAAGAAAATAAAAATCTACAATATTTTTAGGTTATTATTTTTGGTCACCCCACAAACTGACCACATGGCATGATCTGCCAGGATGGAGAATGTCCACGTTCTTCTCTTGAGGGAGATGGGGGGGGGGGTGTCTTTTTTTTTTTAATTCCCCTCTTTTCTAACAGAATGTTGCCACCACCACACCCTGATTCAGTGGGCTGTGTTTGTATCTCTGTCCCAGCTTCTACTGTAGAAAATAACATTGTAAAGGGAAATCAGCCTAGTGTCAGTGTCTTGGTTTGGGGGGATAATTAAATGTTGCAGTTTTGTTTATGGCATATTGGTTCTTATTTATTTGTTTTGTCCACTTGACTTTGGGGTCAAAGACAGCATCAGATGGAAGCCAAGTGTGATGCTTTGGGGGATGGAGAAGAAGTAAGTGGCCAGGCTTCCCCAAGTCCTGGCTGAAGTCACGATTATTACCACCTTTATTACACCAGAGTGCAGGGGAGGGAACTGAAGCCCACAAGTGTGGTTTCTTGCCAGTCTCAGGTCTAGTAAGTGGCAGCTCTGACCTCAGAGCCCAGTTCTAACCACTGCTCTACGGGCCTCCCGGCACTCGGGTGTCCTCTAGCAAGTGTGCCCGGAGACAGAAAGCTATCTGTTTCTCAGCTGCAAATGAGGTTGTGGATCAAATGAGAAAGTTGGGTGTACGGCATGACCTACGGGAGGTCCCAAGCATGTCCCCACCCTGTCTAAATTTCCAGGCCTGGGCCCCTCGCTTCCTGCCCCGGTTTAAAGTTACAGAGGAGTCTGCACAAGCTCTGAGAAAGACAAGGCACCCTGGACCTTTAATGAGCTCAGAAGTGGCAGGAAACCTCACTGGCTTTGGACAGGCCAGGAGGAACCGGACTACCAGGCCTCATCCCTGCCGCTGCATTATCCCCACCCCTTCTCAGGGCTGATGCCCAGGCGGAGCCCCTGTAAGCCCTGGAGGCTGATTCTCAGTCCCTTCCTCCGTTCAGTGCACACCGGGGGAAGGAAATGCTGGCGCTCAGCTGAGCCCGAAGTCTGTCCTGAGACAGAGAGGGAAGAATTGGGCTCTCGGCCAAAAAGGGTCGCTCCTTTGGAACACAGTTTGCTAAGTGAAAAATGAGACTGCTCTGGGAGGGCAGTCCCCATAGTCAGAGAGGGGCTCAGACAACCCAAAGAGACAGCTGCTGCTAGAAGGAACATGCCCGGTTCAGGCCATGTCTCTGGGTGCCTCACCCCCACCTCCCCGATGCTATATTCCAAGGTCCAAACAGCCACAGAATCTTAAAGCTGGTTGGTTGATTCAAAGCTACTTTGTGCGAAGCCCCTTTCTAGGCATTGGAGATACAGCAGTGACCACAGACTCCACCCTCAGGGAGCCCAGAGTCAGGGGGGCCAGATCAAGTTAATCGGATCATAAAAATGTGGTGACAGCCCTAGCCGGTTTGGCTCAGTGGGCAGAGTGTCGGCCTGCGGACTGAAGGGTCCCAGGTTCGATGTCTGTCAAGGGCACATGCCTAAGTTGCGGGCTCGATCCCCAGTAGGGGGCGTACAGGAGGCAGCCGATCAATGATTCTCATTGATGTTTCTATCCCTCTCCCTTCCTCTCTAAAATCAACAAAAAATATATTTTAAAAAATTTAAAAATGCGGTGACAAGAGTCATCATGGAGACGCATGAGGCTGTGGAGCACAGAGGAGGGAACGAGCCCTGTCCACCTGATGAGTGCGGAGCAGCTAGCCCCCGAGGTGTGGGAAGGCGGAGTTCCAGACCCCAGAACTGGAGGACGCCGCAAAGATCAAGGATGAGGCCCCACCTCCCCCCGCTCTCGAGGAAAGGGCCTCCAAGCCTGGGCGGGAGCTGCAGACGCTGCCGAAGATCTGTCTGGGCTGCTGCTTGGCGGTCGCGACACCCAGGAGAGGCGGGCGGTGAGGAGAGGGAGGGTCACCCTGCCTCATCCCTGCAGCGAAGGGAGGATAGGGAAGCCAGGGGGCCTCGATGGGGGTTTCTGGCCGGGAGCAGTCTGGCCCAGCCCCTGCCCATCACTAAGCTTCTACTCCGAGCACTTCCTCCCGACAGCCAATCGAAACCCTCCCCATCCTCCCGACAGCCAATCGAAACCCTTCCCATCCTCCCGACAGCCAATCGAAACCCTCCCCATCCTCCCGACAGCCAATCGAAACCCCATCCGCGGGCTCGGGCCAGCCCTTCCTCCTTCGGGGAGTGACCGTTCTCTGTATCCTCCCTTCCACAGACTAGTTAGGGTCCCGGGACCAGGAAGTAGGGCCCTAGGTTCCGGTGTTGGCTTCGCCTCCGACTCGAACTGTGATCTCCTGCAAGACCTCGCCCCTCTCTGAGTCTCATTTTCCCCACCTGAAAAGTGAGACTTCTGCGGCCCCTCCCCCCCCCCCCCCCGCCCATCCCGCTCAGGCCTTGGGACTTTGGGATTTTTAGAAATGGACTTTTCTTCTGGGGCGGGTTCGACAGGGCTGAGGCCACGAGTACCGGGCAGTCTGGATTCTCAATTCGGTCCCAATACCTAGGAAGATTCAGGAACAACTTGTCCCACCACGCTCTTGAGAAACTACATTTCCTGACATGCAAAGTGAAGAGGCGGCGCCTGCCTTTCTTGGACATTGTGGGCCTGGGCCGGCGTAAGGACTACGGTTCCCAGCATGCCATGCGGCCGAAGGCCAGAAGGGCCCGGATCCGGAACCGGATGTGGCTCGGTGCTCCGGCGTGGAGCGCGGGGCAATGGTGAGCCTGCGGTGGGATGTCGGGGTTGGGGATCCCAGGTCTGTGATGGAGACGGGGCTTGGGCCATCGAAAGCCTGATTGCTCTCCCGCCGGCCCATTGTACGGATGAAAACGCCGAGGCCCGGCACTCTGTGCCAGCGTAACAGGCTGCGACGCCCCCTCCGTTAGTACACCGAAGTGGAGTCGCTTCGTCAATTGAGCCCTTCCTTTTCTCCAGGCCACGGGGACGGACCAGGTGGTGGGACTCGGCCTCGTCGCCGTTAGCCTCATCATCTTCATCTACTACACCGCCTGGGTGATCCTCTTGGTATGTGTACTTACCCGCCCCCGCCCGCCTCCATTCATGGATCTTGCAGCTATTATGTGTCAGGAACGCTGCGAGGTGCCTTACCCGAATAGCTCATGAAATCTCCAGAATAGCCCTACAAGGAAGGTGCTAGTGCCGTCCCCGTCTTATAGATGAGGAAGCTGAGGCTCGGGAAGAAGGGTTGAGGCCAGGACCATATCCTTAACTGCTACACCGATCCTGATCACTGATCCTGATTGGCTCTGCCTTTGATGGGAGGGCTAGTCCTGGTTATCCTGCTGGCGCCTGGGCATGATGGGTCCCCATGGATTTTGTGAGGGCCTTAGGAGTTGGGGGGGGGGGGGGGGGGGTGCGGTTGTTACTGCTTAAGAAGGGCAGTGCGTTTGGAAGGCAAAGTCTTGCAGAACTTGGTATCCTTTGGAGAAAAATGTTAGTAAAGAAGAGCTTGGAGCCCAGGTTGGGAATCACTCCAGGCTTCCTCATGTACCCTTTTCCCCCATTAGGCTGTGAGGGCCTGAGAGCAAGCCCTTTATCCTGTTCCCTGCCGGGTCCCCAGCACTAACTTAGGGCAAGTGCCCAGTAAACAACTATTAAATGAAGGAAGGAAATGACCCAAGGCACCCAAATAGCCATCGTCTTAAAGAAAAGCAAATGCTGTCCCAGTGGTTAGGGTGCGGTCAGCCCTTGAGATGGGGGAGGTGGATGGTTGGGCTTGGGGGTGCTGGGCAAGGCGGGGAATGCTCACCAGAGCTCTGCCCTGGATGCCAGCCATTCATCGACAGCCAGCATGTCATCCACAAGTATTTCCTGCCCCGAGCCTATGCTGTTGCCATCCCACTAGCTGCTGGCCTCCTGCTGCTCCTGTTTGTGGGTAAGTCATCATTCCCGTGAAAAGGGCATTTGGGGGGGTTGGCGGGGGGGGTCATGATCCTCTCCCACCCTGACCTTGCTGGACATCTGCTTAAGGCTCCTCGCCTTCACTTCACCCTGGGGGTTTTCCTGTCCTTCCCTCAGGGCTACAATCACTCTTCCAGATGCCTGGGGCTCACTGGACTCTACTGGGATGTCTCCCCTTTTCCTGCTCCCTCCACTACCACCATCATTGCACTGCTCACACCTTAATCACCTCTCACCCCCTTGTCACCCTGGCGCATGATTCCTGCACCTCTCTTGTCTCCCCTGGTTTAGAGTTTGGGCATGCTAGGACTATGTCTTCATTATTACTGTGTCCTCAGCTCCTACTTAGGCCATGGCACTAAGCTGGTGCTCAAGAAAGTGGTTTGGATGGGTCAAGAATCACATGACTCGATGATGGAGTGGGTGGGTGAGTGGAAGCTAGATGTTGAGTGGGTAGGCGGACAGGTGGTCGCTGGTGAGAGGGAGAGTTGGGCGGATCTTGTATCCTGTAGAATCTGAAACACTAAATGCAGCCAATGGCTGGTGGTAAGCACTCAGGGATGTTTGTTGAATGAATGTGGGCGGATGTGTGGTTTGAGGGATGACTAGGGAGATGACCAGGTGGCCTGGAGGATGGTTGGGGAGGTTCTTGACCCCATGTATGGGTCACTCTGCCACGCTGTGCCCTGGATCTTACCTGGCCTTTCTGATCTGTATATTCCAGGGCTGTTCATCACCTATGTGATGCTAAAGAACCAGAAGGTGACCAAAAAGGCTCAGTGAGGGCCCAGCGAGGATGCGGCGGCCTCCCTATGGTGCATACCAAGGGCGGGCCACACAGGACCTGTGCAGGCACTGCAGCCCCTCAAGCATGGCTGCCTTGCAGACACCCCTGGGGATGAAGCTGTTCAGGACTCACCCTGACTGACCAGAACCCCCACTTCTCTTCTGCTCACTCTTCCAGAGCCAGGAGGAAGTACCTGGAACTCCCTTTCTCCCCATTCTGCCTCAGGGCCTGAGAGATACTGGTCCTCCCTACCTCACTTTCAGACCCCCTGTCACTTTTTCTTCTGGGTTCCACCCTCTTGCCTCAGTTTCCCTCCTGTCACAGGCTCATGTTGGAATTGGCACGTTTTAAGGCATCGCGTGGCCTCTCCCACCGCATGTCCTTTTTCTCCGCGAAGGCAACTTTCTCGGGTCTGACACAGCCAGGGACTCCCCAGGACTTCTTGACCTGGAAAGCTTAGGGGGAGGACCAACAGGTCTTGGGACCACTGGGCACACTGGGCCCCCAGATCTTCTCATAGGGTCCCAGCCCCTCAGCCCTAGCACTGGCCCACTGGGGAGAACAGAACAATAAACGTTGATGGTGTGTTTTTCTCTGTGCCATCCCTGACCAGGGGAGCTGGGCTCTGGGGGCTGGAGAGGGGCTGGGAGCTGGTCACTGCATTGGTCTCAGGTCAGGAGACCCTGGTTTGTGCAATGAGTACCTCAGTGCCTCCTGGATCATCCCTGTGCTGGACACACGGTAAAGCTGGAACTGGGACAGGTGTTCCAACCCCTGCAGCTCACAGCTGGGGAGTCGTGGAGGCATGGCCACCTGCCAGACCCCACAGCAGTCTTCAGCACACCTCCCCTGTGTCAGCCCAGCCAGCACGCACTAGTATTTTAGGGACCCTCAGCCCAGTCCCCTAAAAGCCCAAACCTATTGTCCATCTCTCGTACCAGCAGCCCAACTTAGTGTAGCGCTGAGCCAGGGTAGAGCTGGTTCCACTGTGTTCAGGTTGATTAATCTGGAACAGGCTCTGCCCTAGCTCCCCAGCAATCCCTCTGGACAGCCAGTTCTCCCAGTCACAGTGCCTAACGTAAGCCTCCATCCATCACACCTTGAATTTTCACTCTTCCTCCAGTTAGTGGTGGTGTCATTTTCAGAACAAAGGCCAGCTGTAGGCTCACCTGTCCTGCCCTCTCCTTGTCTTCCAGACCAGGAAGAGCTGCTCACCTGGCCCCGATGTACTGCACATGCACCAGCCACCCACCTAATGTAACCATCAAATGTAGTGGCACCTCAAATTCATCCTGTCGTCTGAATTCTCAGACACCCCACCCCCAATCTGGCTCTCCCCGCCCGCCCCCCATGCCCTGCTCCCTCTCATGACTGTCATTATCCTGTGTCCCTGACCCCAGCCAGAAGCCTTGGCTTTCCTCCCTGCCTCCATCCACAAGACCCCAAATCCTGTCAATTCTAACACACACCCAGCCACCTGGGTGCAAAGCCACCACTGCCCTAAATCACGGAGGGCTTCCTTGTCCTCTCTGCCCCTCCTTTCAAGCACCGGGCTCTCAGGCGGTGCTGATGCACTCCCTGAATGACAGTCAGTGACCTTTTTGAGACATCTGAGCAGCCCTGGGCAGTATGGCTCATTTGGGCATCATTCCATGCACCAGAAAGTCGCCAGTTCGATTCCCAGGCAGGGCACATGCCCAGGTTGTGGGCTCAATCCCTGGTGAGGGGTGTGCAGGAAGCAGTCCATTGATGTTACCCTCTCACATTGATGTTTCTCTCCCGCTCAAGATAAAAACTATTCTTAGAAAAACAACACTAAAACATTTGAGCATCTTTCTCACTCAATGCTTCTCCGAGCCCCCACCCCTCTCCCTACATGGCCAACAAGAGCCTGCATTGCTCGCTCACTCCACCCACTGCCATGCTGGCCTTTCGTTTCCTGGCACTCACCAAGGCCCTTTGCACATCCTACTCACATTGGTCCAACCTAAACTTACCAAACACCATGCCTGGCGCTGGTACCCCCTTCTAGGGGGAGGTTTAGTAAACAAATGAACAAGACAATCTGACAGAAAATAAACAAGGTCATGTGATCAAGAATGAGGAGAGGGGCCCAGCCGGTGTTGCTCATTGGTTGAGGGTCACTGTTCAACTCCTGGTCAGGGCACACACCCGGGTTGTGGGCTCGATTCCCAGTAGGGGGCACACAGGAGGCGGCCAGACAATGATTCTGGTCATTGATGTTTCTGTCTCTCCCTCTCCCTTCCTCTCTGAAGTCAAATATATATACACATATATGTAATCTCGACCAAGGTGCAGGAAGGAATACGGAAACGGAAGTCTGAAGAAAAGGATTTCAAGCAGAGGGAACGGCCCGGAGGCGTGGGAGTTTTCGGTGGCCAAGGAAGAGCGGGAATCCCTGTGGCTGTGCGGTGGGGGGAGGGAGAGTATATTGGGGTGGGGCTGGAGAGTGGGCAAAAGGGCCTGGGACCACGGGGAGGGGTGATGGCTTTAAGCAAGAGAGTGACATCACCCAATTTTATGCTTTCAAACATCTCGCTGGCAGCTGTGTTCCTCTCATTCACCACTAAACCCCGGGGCCTAGCACGGCTCCTGGCCCATAATGTGTGATAAAACACACGTGTTGGATAAAGGCATGCCCCACACTGTGTGACCCCGAGTGCTGGTAGTCATTCTCTCTCTAGTCTAGACCTTGGTTTCCTCACCCGAAAGACGGGTTGATGGGAATTTCACGCCCGAGTGGGTAGGGGGACTGTATCTAGCTCACCCCCCTCCCCAAGCGGCGCCCGAGTCCTCCACCCCTAGGGAAAAGAGGGGTGTCCTCCCTCCCAGGGACCTGATACCGCGTCGCGGCCCCAACCGCCCTGCACCGCTGGCCGAAGGATGCTGCAGCTCCGGGGGCGGGACCAGCAGGCGACTGCCGGAGACTCCAGCTCCGATTGGGTGCCGCCGTGAACGGCAACGCGCGATTGGTCGGTCCAGAAGCAGGGGCGGGGCCTGGCTCCTGCAGCGGGGTGGCGGGGCGGCTGGGGATGCGGCCAGAGCCCGGGAAGCTGCTGCGGGGGCCATGGCCGCCCCGAGCCCGGGGCCCCACGAGGTAGGTGCGGACCCGAGAGAGGAGAGGAGAGGGAAGGGTTAGTGAGTACGAGCCGGGCCTCCCCTCTCCGGGCGGGGTGGACACACCCCCATCCAAGCTCAGGAGGGGTCCACTGGGCGGCGACCAGGACACGCCCCACGTGGGAACCGCAGGTATGAAGGGAAAGTCTGTCAAGGATCCCCCGAGAACTTGTTCAGTTTTTTCGCAGGGAAAATGGAGATGATAGTAAAAGCTTCTCCTTCGTAGGGCTGTTAGGAGGTCAAGCTCTCAGCCAGGGCTGGTCACATGGTGGGTGCCCACTACGGACGGGTCAGCGGCTGATCTCAGCTTCGTGCTGATCTTCCGGGCTGGCCTGGAGGGGCTCAGCACAGATGAGTGGAGTACTTGGTGCTTGGCTGAATCCCTTGGCATCACGGCTCCTATCAAGGGTCCCTGTGCACAGAGCTCAAACCCAACAGTAACCGCAGCTATTATCTGCCGCGATGTTATAGTTCTCGTTCTGCAGATGAGAACACCAGGCCCCGAAGGTTAGGTGACTTACCTGAGGCCACACAACTGGTGAGAGGATGTCTGGGGCCCGGTCTGGCTGCAGAACTGCCTGCTCTGACCTACTGCTAATGATAACCATCACTCTGTGTTGGATGCTGACTGCACGTCAGGGGCTGTGCGGCCCGCATAGCACCTAGTGAGCTGGGTACCAGCATTAGCCGCATTTTACAACCGAGGAAACTGAGGCAGAGCGAGCTAAGAGGAGGGCTCAAAGTAGTGGAGGTGGCACTCATACCCATGTCTTTCCCCTCTGCGATGCTGCCACATGCTCAATGCTTCTTGTGCCTTCTGCCACCAGGTCCTGGCCCCCTCTCCAGAGGCCGGAGGCAAAGTCATCACCTCACGTTCTGGCCGCCGGGGCCTGCTCTGGCGTCTGCGAGACAAGCAGCTGCGCCTCGGCCTGTTTGAGATCAGCCCGGGACATGAGCTGCACCGGCTGACGTGTATGATGCAGGCAGGGCTCTGGGCTGCCACACAGGTCTCCATGGACCACCCGCCCAGGGTGAGTGGCCAATCTGCTCTATGCACCGATGGCAAGACCGGACCGCGGCCCTGTTTTGCTACTGAAGAGTTGGGGATCGGAAAGGCTATAAGGGGAGGAAATCAGGGGTTTGGTGCAGGGAGGGAGGGACAGTCTAGGCTTGGGGCTGAGGCCAGGAAGCCAGAAAGTGCAGGATGTGTTGGGGATGTGAGGAACACCCTGACCCGGGTAGTAGCTGTGTAACTCTAGGTGGGCATCAGGTCCCCATCTGTGTAATGTATAATGACTTTGGGGGAGGGGGTTGTATGCGTTAGTCTCAGAGGCCCCACCTCTGCCAGGGTGTATGGTTGAGAAGGGACCTCACTCCACCCCACCAGCATGGCCCGTCCTCCCCAGAGCTCAGGCTGGGGCCAGGCTGGCTCAGCAGAAAACGTTGCCCAACTGCAAGCTCAGCAGCTGGATGGGCCCAGTGAGCATGTGTGTTGTTTGTGTGTGTGTGCGCACAGTGTGACCACATCCCATAGGCACAGGGACCTAGAGGTCCAGGGAGAGTATAGGAGCCAGAGGGCATCTTCTAAATCTCATCCTCTGCTGAAAATCACAATCTGACCTCAGTACCTGCTGAAAATCTCCCATGGCTCCCAGTACTCATCATGGCCTCGGGATCAACTGTCCAACCTCATTCACCCTCCATCCCTCCCTTACTCAGCTAAGCCGCTCGGGCCCTCCTTCCCTTCCTGGTGACACCAGCGCAGTTCCCACTGCTAGGAGCACCCTCCTCCTCCTCTCCACTGCCCGTCAGATTTCAGCTTGCGGGTCACCTCCCCCAGGGAGCCCTCTCTGATCCTGCCCCTCCCAGGCTGAGTCAGGCAGGCCCCTGGCCTTCCAGGCCATCACCTTTTATTCGGATGACATGCAGCTGCACTCAGTCAGGGGGTGTGTCTGAGCGAAGGTGCCAGGTGCTGGGGACCCAGCTGTGGAGGAGTCATGCCCGGGACCTGCCTCAGTCCCTCTCTCATCCTCCTGCAGCCTGGGAGGGTCTGCAGCCCCCACCTGCCCAGCTCAGGAATCAAACTGGGGGAAGGGGGAGGCCAGGTGCGGTCGCTCCGAGATCCTGGGGCTGGCGGGGGGGGGGGGGGGGGGAGGGGAGCGGCGCTGGGACTTGCTCTGAGCCTTCTGCCCCTCCCTGCAGGGTCTGCCCACTGAGGACGACTTCTCCGAGGTCCTGACCCAGGTCCACAAGGTAGGAAGCCTCAGGCTGTGCAGGGAGGGGCGGATGCCATCCTAGTTCCCTCTCCTCAGTTCCCCCATGTACGGAGCCTCACGGCCTTCCAGAGGGTGTGGCTCCCTTGACTGTCCCGCACCAGGGCCAACTGCACACACCGGGACCCCGACGGGCCAACACCGGGACCCCGACGGGCACTCTGGGGCTGCTCTTCCTCTCCTGCAGGGCTTCGAGCTGGGCACCCTGGCTGGCCCTGCCTTCGCCTGGCTGCGCCACACCCTAGGCCTGGCCGAGGAGGACTATCAGGCCGCCCTGGGGCCCGGGGGCCCCTACCTGCAGTTCCTCAGCACCTCCAAGAGCAGCGCCAGCTTCTTCCTGTCGTGAGCGGGCAGCAGGGGTGGGGCAGGGTGGGAGTGGAGTCCCAGGGTGGAGGGTGGCATTTGGGGAGAGAAACAGAACAGCCAGGTCAGAGGAGAGACTGAGGGCGAGGGCCTGGCCCTGGGGAGACAGAGCCACACACGGACAGGAGGGTCAGGGAGCCTGTGGGACCCTCCAGCCCGGCCTAGAGTGACCTCTCCCTGCCCCCGCACCAGCCACGACCAGCGCTTCTTCCTGAAGACCCAGCGGCGCAGGGAGGTGCGGGCGCTGCTCGCCCACCTGCCCCGCTACCTGCAGCACCTGCAGCGGCACCCGCACTCGCTCCTGGCGCGGTTGCTGGGTAGGACGGGCCAGGGACCTGGCACTGGGGGGGGGGGGGGGGGGGGGGGAGGAGAGGGATTCAGGGAGTGGGGATGTTCCAGGGGTGTGGGGTACCTGAGCCTAGCCAGGTGGTTGGGACTGGACTAGAGGCGGATCCGACTGCCCGCAGAGTTCAGTGCAGGGCGGTAGGGACAGGGAGTGGGCAGGTGGCGGGCGGCAGGCGGGGCCCAAAGGGTGGGATTGGGGTTGGGATTGGACAGTCCTGGGCAGGGCATGTGGGAGAGGCCAAGCCAGACCCAGCATCTCTGGGGCTGAGTCTAGAGGTGGATGGAGTCGCCACCACCATCCAAGCTGAGGAAGGGGTCTGGGGGCGCAGCTGGAGGGACGGGCTCGGATGCGCCGGCACTGAGGAGGCGTGGCCTGGAGCTGGGACCAGGGCCCCAGGGACCCCGGACGGCAGAGTTTGGGGCCCCTCACCTGGCGCCCTGTCCCCTTCCAGGAGTGCACAGCCTGCGGGTGGCCCGGGGCAAGAAGGTGGGTGAGGCCGAGGCAGGGCCGGGCCGGAGGGGTGGCTGTGGGGGAGATCCTGTCCTTCCTCACTCCCTACCCCGTCCCCGTCCCCAGAAATACTTCATCATCATGCAGAGCGTCTTCTACCCCGCTGGCCTCATCGCCGAGAGGTGAGTTGGCCTCGCAGGCCTGGGCCCCGTCCTGCTGGGAATGTGCCACCGGAGGCACCCACGCTCCCCAGGTAGATGGTGAACCCGAGGCCCAGGGAGAGAGGATGGGGTTGTGCTGCGGATCTGAACAGTCACCAGTGGAAGCTCCTGTCTTGTTACTACCTGGGAGAGTCCCCGTGTGTCCCAAGTCTGTGGAAAGCTGAATTCTGTTGTGTCCCCCAAATCCTTGCCTCCAGGTATGACATCAAGGGCTGCGAGGTGAGCCGCTGGGTGGAGCCGGCCCCTGAGGGCAGCCCCCTGGTCTTGGTGCTGAAGGACCTCAACTTTCAGGGCAAGACCATCGACCTGGGTGAGCCGCGGAGCCCTCACTGCCTGCCCTTCCTCCGTTCGGGGTGAAGCTGGAGGGTGTCCTTGGCACAGCCCCTGTCCACGTTGTTAAGAACCCAGATTCGGGTTCAAATCCCGGCTCCACAATTTACCAGCTAGTTGGCCAAGGCAGATTACAGAGGAGTGTCCTCATCTGTGACATGGGGCAGTAATGACGCCTACCCTTTGGGGCAGGTGGGTGTGGAGCCTCAGCACTGCCCGGCCCACGCCGGACACTCAGGCGGTGCTGATGCCCCCTCAGGGCCCCAGCGGAGCTGGCTCCTCCGGCAGATGGAGCTGGACACCGCCTTCCTCCGGGACCTCAACCTGCTGGACTACAGCCTCCTGATGGCCTCCCAGCACCTGCAGGAGGACGAGAGGGGCCCAGGCGGCAGCCTCATCTTCCGCACAGCCAGGTGGGCCCCCACAGGGACACCGGCAAGAGGGAGGTGATGGGAGATGGAGAGACAGACAGGCAGTGGGTGAGGTGGGAGACAGAGTAGGCAAAGACTTGAAGACTGGAAAGCGCAGTGTGTGTGTGTGTGTGTGTGTGTGTGTGTGTGTGTGGCGGGTGGCGGGGGAGAAGCCAGGCTGGCAGGTGTAATGGGCACAGGCGGGCCACAGCAGGAGAAAGAACAGGTGCGGGTCAGTTGGACAAGGGCTTCAGTCTGGATTCGAAGACTTTGCCCAGTTTTCAGGTTTCAGACCAATTTAATCGTCTCAGAGAGAGCGCTTAGCTCTTCACCCAGTCATTCCACTTCTAGGGCCCGAGGTCATCACCAGTGGCACCAACATCATGTTGACCTTCCTTTGTAATAGTAACTGTCACTCCTTGCATGCTGACCATGGCCTCATTAAAGTGGGCTTACTGCCATTTTAGAGATGTGAAAACTGAGGCTCAGAGGAGGGAAGTGACGTAGAACGACTTCTGAGGGTTCATATTAGTACTTGGCTATTTTTTTAATTCTTTATTGTTGGAAGTATTACATATGCCCTCTTTTCCCGCCATTGACATCTCCCAGCCCGCCCCCACCCCCTAGCACAGGCCTTCACCATCCTATTGTCTGTGTCCATTGATTATGCTTATATGCAGTACTGGGCTGTGTAATTGGATTTCAATCCAAGACCCACTTTTGCGGTTGAACATAATTATGTAGGGCTAAGACAGGCACGTTAAGGTAATAAGTTCATTGATCTGGTGGGTGGAAAAGAGGAGTGAGAAAGGACACCCACTCGTCAGCTTCTCATCCCCACCCCTTACCTTCGATGGGTGAGCTTGAGCAGAATCCAGGATAAGGGCTCCCCAGGCCCTTTGGCTGGGCTGGGCACATCTTGACCAGAGTGTGCAATTCCTGCCAGACCCCCCCCCCCCACCCCCCGCCCCAAAGTCTGCCCATCCAAGCTAGATCAGCTTCTCCCTTGCCCTCTACCTCCAGCTGGTACTTAAATCCCAGCTGTATTCAACCAGTAAGTCCGAGTTTGCATATAATGGTTGTTATATTGAAACATTCTGTGCTGGCTGGTAAATAGCCATTGTCCCAGCCCCAGCCCCCCAGTTCCCAGCCCCTCATTCAAAATACCTGCCACCACACAGGTGTGCCGGAGGCAGCCGATCAGTGATTCTCTCTGACCATTGATGTTTCCATCTCTCCCTCTCCCTTCCTTTCCTAAATCAATAAAAATATATTTAAAAAAAATACTCCTCCCCCCCATCTCCATCTCTCCATCATCCCTATTACCTTGGCACCGCAGAAGATACCAGCGCCCCCGACTGGGCTTCTAGACCGCTGAGTTCTGATTGGTCGATGCCTGGGCGGGACTTGCCTCTCATTGGCTTATTTCCCAACTGGCTACTGATTGGCTAGTGCAACTCTAGACCATTAACTACACTTAGTTGATCGGACTTCACGGGCCTGGCGCTCAGAGGTGTGAAAATGAGCAAGGGAAGCACAGGGTTAGGGCAGAGCGCCACCAAGGGCAGCCTGGCCACGCTTACAGGGTCAGTTGGCTGGAGCCCCTGAAGGAGGTGGTAGCCTCCCCCCTCTGTCGGCCCCTAGGTCTGTGCAAGGGGTACAGAGCCTGGATGAGCCGGGAGCGCAGAACCTTCGGCTGCTGCCTGATGGCCCCAACGCCCTTCACATCTTGGACGGCCCGGAGCAACGCTATTTCCTGGGCCTTGTGGACCTCGCCACCGTCTACGGGCTCCGCAAGCGACTGGAGTACCTGTGGAAGGCGCTGCGCTACCCCAACCGGGCCTTCTCCACCGTCAGCCCGGCTCTCTACGCCCGTCGCCTCTGCCAGTGGGTGGAGGCGCACACCGAGTGACCGGCGCGGGGCCGCGCTCTCCCCATCTGGACAATGGGCACAGGCCCGGAATGCATGTGCCAGCTTGGTCGGGCTCCCCCAGCCTGCTGTTCCTCCAGCGGGCCTCCAGAGGGCAGCATTCTCCAACTAATATGACAACCTTAGTTAATGGTGATGCTGTGCCTGGCTGGTATTTTGCCAGGGACTCGCCATATTAGCTCATTTTATCCTAAAAAAAAAAAAAAAAAGCTATTATTCTCTTTTCACAGACCATGAGATGGAGGCTCATGGGGTGAAGGGACTGAGCAAGATCACTCAGCAGTAAATGCTGGAACCAGGACTCGACTGTGCCTTTTGCACTCAGGAGCCTGTACCAGCTCCCACAGCCCTGTCCTCATGCTCTCAGAAAGGGGGGAGGCTGAAGGCTCCAGCCCCGGCCCTTTGTCATACAGATGGGGAAACCGAGGCCCAGAGATTTTAAGGGGCGTATGCACGGGTAAGTGGCAAGGCTAGCCCCAGAACTCCAGGCCTCCCTATCCCTTGCCCCTGGCTCAAGGAGACCCCTGTGGGTCTCCTGCCCTTTAAGGATGCAGGTAGGAGAAGGTGGGGTATCGAGGGGCCTGCAGCTCTGGGAAGCACTATGTTGATCTTGAGTAAGCTCTGCCCTCCTCTGATAGTCACTTTCCTCATCTGAGAAATGGGGGTAGGGGTGGTGGGCAGACCAAGGGCCCTTGCCAAACACACATCACCAGGAGCAGAGAAGCAAAGTGTCTGCATAGCCCCTGACCATTCCTTCTCCCTCCTCCAGGAGACTCCAGCCGGCCTCTGACCTCAGTCCAATCCGACCATGCCCAAGCCGGCCTTTCCTCTAGTGCTGCTCTGGGGCCTATGTGACCAGGGCAAGGTGTTAACCTTCTCTGTGCCTCAGCGGTCTAATCTGTAAGATGGAAGGATGAAAATGGACCTCATTCACGAATTAAATATTTATTGAGCATCTGTTATGTGACAGGCTGGGCTTTGGGGACCTGGGAGTGGAGCACAGATTTCACCTTCACAAAACTCACAGTCTGGGGTGGGGGTGGGAGGTGGTGACAAAAGCGCCCTGGTGTAACAAAACCTTGTGGAGGACCATGGGGCCATGGGGCTCAGGGAAGGGGCCCCACCTCAGTAGTTGATGGGTGGGGTTGTTTCTAATCTCTAAACTGAGATCAGAAGAGTCAGCTGTCAGGCGCTGGGAGGGTCCCAGGCTAAGGGCACAGCAAAGGGCTGGGGTGAGAGAGTGCCTGACATCCTATGTAATAAAAGGGTAATATGCAAATTGACCAGGAATGATGGGGAACGACTGGTCACTATGATGTGCACTGAACACCGGGGGACAGATGCTCAATGCAGGAGCTACCCCCTGATGGTCAGTGTGCTCCCACCGCTCAGCCAGAAGCCAGGATGTCCGACTGGGATATCCACGGGGAGCAGGCCTAAGCCATCAGTCAGACATCCCCTGAGCGCTCCCAGGCTGCCAGAGGGATGTCTGACTGCCAGCTTAGGCCTGATCCCCTGAGGAGCAGGCCTAAGCTGGCAGGTAGACATCCTCCAAGGCAGTGGTTCTCAACCTTCTGGCCCTTTAAATACAGTTCCTCATGTTGTGACCCAACCATCAAATTATTTTCGTTGCTACTTCCTAACTGTCATGTTGCTACTGTTATGAATCATAATGTAAATATCTGATATGCAGGATGGTCTTAAGCGACCCCTGTGAAAGGGTCGTTCGATCGCCAAAGGGGTTGTGACCCACAGGTTGAGAACCGCTGCTCCAAGGGGTCCTGGACTGTGAGAGGGCGCAGGCTGGGCTGAGGGACACCCCCCACCCCAAGTGCACGAATTTTCATGCACCAGGCCTCTAGTTTGGAATAAAGAAACATTTCCCAGTGGTTGGTGTTGAGAGTGGGTGGGGACAGTATGGTGGGTGGGGAGCTGTGTGGGCCAAGAGCTGGCCCCCAGGACTGGATGACTCGGGGAAGCCGCTCAGCTACACCAAACACTGCCATTCCACTGGCCTTCCGAGAAAAGGAAGAAAAATGGCTGATGGGGGAGGAGGAGGAAAGGGAAAGCTGATGTTGCAGAACTGGAGTGTGGTTCCTGGAGGTATAGCTATAGATCTAGATACAGATTCAGATATATCTAGATGTAGCTATAAATAGGTAATTGACATCCCCCCCTAGACACCTGGGTGGCCTTGGGTGACAACCTGCCTGAGCTAACACAAGCCATGGAGAATTTCTGCTTCTGACTCAGCAGGAAGTTGAGACATCGGGTGTGTGCTGCTCATTGCCCTCCCGGGAGGTGGGCGGGTTGTGGAAACTCCTGGTGGTCGGGCAGCACAGCAGGAAACTGGGCCCACATTTCCCTGGGGTTTGTATCCATACGGCTGAGTCTGAGCCCCAGAGTCCTAGATAAGGATGGTTCAGCCCCTCACTCCCTTTGGGTCTCTGGCAACGAGCTGAAGCAGGGCCTGACGCTAGACAGGGAAATGACTTGTCCCAGATCTCTCAGGGCCCAGACTCTTGACTCCCCTAAATTGCTCATTCAACAGACATCATAGGTGCTGGGCTTTGTGCAGGTGCTGGAAATGCCTTGAGGACATGACTGGCCTGAGTGCTCACACAGAGCTTAGAGTATAATAAATAGATGGGTAGACCATAAGCAAGAAAACCAGTTAGCACACAGGATGATTTCAGAGTGTGACAAGTACTTGAAAAAGATAAATCAAGGTGGGTCAGGAGGGATGGGGGTGCAGTGTTGGGTAGAGTGGTTGCCAAGGAGGTGACATTTGAACTGAATGAGGAGCTGGCCACGTGAGTAGAGCAGTCCAGGTAGAGGAATAGCAAATGCAAAGTCCCTGAGCTAGAAAAGAGCTCAGTGTGATTGGGGGTTGGAAAGGTGACCGAGGTGGGTGGATGGTGATTAAGTGGGAGTCAGGAGTTCAAACTGCAGGGCCTTGGCCGGGTAAGGGGAGTAGGCTTCTGTCAAAAGCAAATTAAAGAGCTTCATCTGAAACTGGGGGACGGGATTCCCAGTGTCCGTCTGTAGATGTCGGGCCCTCACCTGCTCTGGGAGCCCAGGTCATTTGGGCATGTCCCTGTCTCCACGTGGCACTAGCGAGGAGGGAGTTGCCTCTTTGGGGGAGGAATTGTCACTTCACCAGCCAATGTGGGTGATGAAGGAACTTCTCACTATTGTCCCCTAGGGGTTGGATCTATGAAAACAGAAGCTGGACAGATGACGACCAGGGAGAGGCTGAAGGGCTCTGGTTTGGGGACTCACTGTGTGCCTTGCCTTGTGTGAATGACAGGCCACAGAGAGAGACTGAACCTAAACCACTGCCCTAGAGGTGTGCCCAGGGCGAGGATGGGGAGCTGCCCAGAGGCCTGGAACACCAGCTTGGAGGACTTGGCTTTGCACCCAGAGCAGGGGAGCCTTGAAAAGTTACTGAGCTGAGTGCAGATACCCAACGTGAATACCCTGGGTTGTGCCCACACCAGAACCTGGAGTTTGAAATGGGGCCAGAGCAAGAGCACAGGCTGGTACCCAGGCCAGGCCCCGCGGAAGGTGGTGGGTGTGGTGGGGATGGTAAGATGAGCTTCCAGGACCATGAAGTATTTTGTAAAAACAACACTTTAAATGGGAAGTATGCTTTCCACTTCACCACAGGGCTACTCCTCCCTATTGTCCCCTATCTGACCCCTGAAGGCACTTGGGTTTAAAATCTCTAAGGGACCCCGACTGAGCCTTCAGATGGGACACGTTTCAGCACCTGCAGGGGCCTGGACTGAGTTGTGTTGGATTCGGAGGCGCCTTGGGCAGTGAAGGTGGTGGTCAGAGCCCTGGATCTGGAGTGAGATGCCCAGGGGTGATCTGACTGCCACAGGCCGTCCTGCACTATCTCACTAGGAGGGAGGCAAGTGCTATGACCCCACTCACAGAGCAGTCCTGAGGCTCAGGTGAAGGTCACACCATCAGAGACAGTCCAAGTAGGGTTGCCACAGAAAATGCAGGACACCAGTGCCATTGGAATTTCAGATTTTTAACTATTCGTTGTTTATCTGAAATTCCAAAGAAACTGGATGTCCCATATTTTACTGACGACCCTACCAACCTGAAACGCAGGGCTGCCTGACCCCAAGCCCCTGTTTAATTTTCCTACCGACTCCCCAATTTCAGAAATGGAGAAACGCAAGTCCAGATGGCCAGGCAGCCACGATAGAGCGGTTCTGAAAGACTTTCCTCTGTGGGCCGCTCAGCCCGAGCTGGGCAGGAGCTTAGACACATGTGGCAGGACGGAAAAGACGGGGGCGGATGCTGAGCTCAGACACCACGCCGGGTGCCGAGGCCCGGCTCCCGCCCGCAGGCCCCGCCTTCATCCCCGAAGGCCTGGCAACGGGCAGCGCAGGTCCGGCCCAAGAAGCTCTGGCCGGGCTCGTAGCCCCGCCCACTCCACCAGGCCCCGCCCCAGTCTCCGCTCGAGAGTCGCTGACCCCGCCCCCGCCGCTCTGGCCCCGCCCCGCCCCAGTCTCCGCCCGGGAGTCGCTGACCCCGCCCCCGCCGCCGGCAGCGCACTTTCGCCTTCCAGTTGCCAAAGCTGCGGCAGGGGCGCTCCCTGTGCCCCGAGGCCCGGGGTTCCAGCCCGGCTCACCCGGCCCGCGGGCCATGGAGCTCCGAGCAGCGGATCAAGAGCAGCCGGCGGGTCCCAACCTGCCCGCGCGGTTAGCGCTCGGCTGGGGGAGGGAGCGGTGGAAACGGGTAGAGGGGCGGAAATCCTCCGGTCTCTCCCCAGGCCTCTGCATGCCCCGCGGGTAGTGAGGTGGAGGGTGGGTGGGAGTCGGAGCGCCTGGCTCCTGGGTCCATCTGACCCAGATTCGATGGGTGACCTTGAGCCCGGGGTTCCCCGTCTCTGCCTCTCCTTCCTCATTTGCACAATGGGATTTGGGTTGGTGGAAGTGTTCAAAGGACGGGGACAGCGCTGCCTGGTGTTTGGGGATTTCGATTTTCAGAAGATATTTGCCTTGACCCCCGCCAGTACCCCCCCCTGCCTCAGATTCCCTGGGAAGTTTCCTCTGAGGCCTGGGACCCAGCCCTGAGTTTCTGGGTCTTGACAGGTGCCTGGCTCCCACCCCTTCCCAGCCCTGGAGACAGCAGCCCCCGTGCTGCTGAGCGGCAGCCACAGCATGAAGGCTCGGGTAAGTGGGAAAAAGGAAAGCTCACCGGGACTTGGGGGTGGCCCTGGCACAGCAGCCTCAGTAGCCTCGCACACCCCAGGCCTGACTCACTTCTGACCCACTGAGCTGGGAAAAGGGCAGGCTGGCCTCAGGGCTGTGTGGCCCAAACAGGCGGCGTTCTCTCTCTGGTTTCAGTGCCTGGCCCCTCTCCCCTGTGACATGGAGATAAGAGTACTATCTCCTGTGAGCCTCCTGGAGCTCACCCAGGATGGGAGTGGGCGATGGTGTGAAAGTTCCCTTTAGCTGGTCCTGCCTTGATCCTGAGCCCCCGGGGTGGGAGAGAGCCCTGGATGTTGGGGGGTCAACCAGCACTGCCTGAATGGAGATCTCTGGTCCCTCGTGCACAGGGCACCAGATGCCAGGCAGAGCCTGAGTACTCAGGGGCTGGACATTCCCCACCCCATCCCCCAGCTGGCCACACGGAGATTTATTTTTAGAAGCTGATATGGTTTGTGGGCAGAAAAAGTTGTGCTTCATGGAGATAGTCCTGGGGGGTGGGGTGGGGGGCTGCTTTTCCACCTCTGGTTTTAAAGAGCACCAGCCAGCTGTTAGGCGATTCCTGACAGGTGGCTGAGGGACCTGTGCCTTGGCAGCCTCAGAGAGTCCAGAGAGACACAGGTGGTGACCATGGTAGCCCAGTACAGGATGGCAGCCCTGGGTCATGACCCACCCCCCCAACCAAACGGGGCAGCCCCTCCCTGAAGGCTTGGTTGGGGCTTTCACCAATTCTGATGGCAGGGCTAGCCCCCCAGTAGGGCTTCTTAGTTCAAGTGGCCTTTGGTACATGGTTTCTGGAGGCAGAGCCCCTGGACAGCAGCTTTCAATTATTGAATCTTTATTTTTTTAAAAAAAAAATTAAATCTTTATTGTTCAAATTATTACATTTGTTCCTCTTTTTTTCCCCCCATAACTCCCCTCCACCCAGTTCCCACCCCACCCTCTGCCCTCACTCCCCACCCACTGTCCTCATCCATAGATGCACGATTTTTGTCCAGTCTCTTCCCGCATCCCCCACACCCCTTTCCCCTCCAAGAATAGTCAGTCCATTCCCTTTCTATGCCCCTGATTCTATTATAATCACCAGTTCATTCTGTTCATCAGATTATTTATTCACTTGATTTTTAGATTCACTTGTTGATAGATGCGTATTTGTTGTTCATAATTTGTATCTTTACCTTTTTCTTCTTCTTCCTCTTCTTAAAGGATACCTTTCAGCATTTCATATAATACTGGTTTGGTGGTGATAAACTCCTTTAGCTTTTCCTTATCTGTGAAGCTCTTTATCTGACCATCAATTCTGAATGATAGCTTTGCTGGATAAAGTAATCTTGGTTGTAGGCTCTTGGCATTCATCACTTTGAATATTTCTTGCCACTCCCTTCTGGCCTGCATGGTTTCTGTTGAGAAATCAGCTGACAGTCGTATGGGTACTCCCTTGTAGGTAACTGACTTTTTTTCTCTTGCTGCTTTTAAGATTCTCTCTTTGTCTTTTGCTCTTGGCATTTTAATTATGATGTGTCTTGGTGTGGTCCTCTTTGGATTCCTTTTGTTTGGGTTTCTCTGCGCTTCCTGGACTTGTAAGTCTATTTCTTTCACCAGGTAGGGGAAGTTTTCTGTCATTATTTCTTCAAATAGGTTTTCAATATCTTGCTCTCTCTCTCATCTTCTGGCACCCCTATAATTCTGATGTTGGTATGCTTGAAGCTGTCCCAGAGGCTCCTTACACTATCTTCGTATTTTCGGATTCTTTTTTCATTTTGCTTTTCCAGTTGGGTGTTTTTTGCTTCTTCGTATTTCAAATCTTTGACTTGATTCTTGCGCTCCTCTGGTCTGCTGTTGGGAGTCTGTATAATATTCTTTATTTCAGTCAGTGTATGCTTAATTTCTAGTTGATTCTTTATCACAACATCGAGGGTCTCATTAGATTTCTTGAGGATCTCACTACATTTATCGGTGGTCTCACCAGTCTTTTTGAGGGCCTTATTAAATTTATCGGCGGCTTCTAGACAGTTCTTTAAAGACCTTAAAAGTGTGGTTTTGAACTCTATATCCAGTAGTTTGCTTTCCTCCATTTCTGTCATTTGTGTCCTGTTTCTTTGTCTCCACATTTTTTTATGCTTCCCTGTGTTGATAAAGTGGTTTTCTGTGCTAAGTGTCCTCTAGGGCCCAGTGGCTCAGCCTCCCCAATTACCTGAGGAGGACACTCTTGGTGCACCCCCTTGTGGTCTTTGTGCACAGTCTTGTTGTAGTTAAGCCTTGATTGTTGTAGGTATCGCTGGGAGGAATTGACCTCCAGGCCAATTGGCTGTGAGAATCAGCTGTGTCTGCAGTGGGAGAGCTTCTGTGCTGGAGACACCCCTCCGGGGCAAGACTTGCTTCAGTGGGGCTTTGGTGCTCACTGGGTCTGCACCCTGAGTGTGTCCTTTAAGGGTCCGAGGAGGTGCAAACTGGATGGTCCCACTCTGACCACTGGGCACACTCGCTCCTGGATCTCTAGGGCAGTGCTAATCTAGCCTTTGCCTGAGGCTACCCAGCAAAAGCCTCCCTGCAGGGCTTGGGCGGGGCGGGTCTCACGGGATCAACAGGGCGGGGCTAGCAGTTATGGCTGCTCTCAGTCCTGCCCTCAGAGGCTCTGCTTCTCAGTGTCCCGGTAATCCCTGCAAGCACCTCCGAGAGAAAGCTGCCCTCGAGTTCCGACTGATGCCAGAGAGTCCCACTTTTCCCGTATGAGTCTGGGTCCCCAAAGACTCGCCTGGAACTGGAGCTCAGAGCCTGAGACTCCCTCCCGATTGAAAACAACAACCGCGCCCTCAGCCGCCAGCCCGCTCCGCGTGCGCCTCTGTACCTTAGTATTTGACTCCCACACTGCACCTCCTCTGAGTCTTGGAAAGCTTTTCTCTTTCCTTCTAGTTGTAGAATTTCCACTCAGCCAGCCTTCCTGTGGTTCTGCATGATGTCTGTTCCATCTTTTAGTTGTATTTTTGAAGTTGTTGTGCGAGGCAGCAAACTCTGGTGTTTACTTATGCCGCCATCTTGGTTTCCTCTTCCTTCCTTCCTTCCTTCCTTCCTTCCTTCCTTCCTTCCTTTCTTTCTTTCTTTCTTTCTTTTTCTTTCTTCCTTCCTTTCTTCCTTCATTTGTCTTTCTTTCTTACTTTCTTGATTTTTAGAGAGTGATGAAGAGAGAGAGAATGAGAGAGAAATGTTGATTTGTTGTTCCACTTATTTATGCATTCATTGATTGATTCTTTTTGTTAAAATATATTTTTATTGATTTCAGAGAGGAAGAAAGAGGGAGAGATAGAAACATCAATGATGCGAGAGAATCACTGATTGGCTGCCTCCTGCATGCCCCCTACTGGGGATCGAGCCACAACCCAGGCATGTGCCCTTGACCGGAATCGAACCAGGATCCTTCAGTCCACAGGCCAATGCTCTATCCATTAAGCCAAACCGGCCAGGGCTGATTGATTATTTTTTAAAACATCAATGATGCCCTAGCTGTCTTGGCTCAGTGGATAGATCATCGGCCTGCGGACTGAAAGGTCCCAGGTTCAATTCTGGGTCAAGGGCACATGCCTGGGTTGCAGGCTTGATCCCTAGTGTGTGGGGCATGCAGAAGGCAGCCGATCAATGATTCTCTCTCATCATTGATGTTTCTATCTATCTCCCTTTCCCTTCCTCTTTGAAATCATATGATATATATATATATTTTAAATCAATGATGAGAGAATTATTGATTGGCTGCCTCCTGCATGGCCCCTACTGGGGATCGAGCCCACAACCTGGGTATGTGCCTTTGACTGGAATCGAACCTGGGACCCTTCAGTCCACAAGCCAAAGCTCTATCCACTGAGCCAAACCAGAGAGGGCATTGATTGATTCTTATATGTGCCCTTACCGGGGATCGAACCTGCAACCTTGCATATTGGATGATTCGCTAACCAATTGAGCTACCCGGCCAGGGCATCCACTTCCTGAATGACACTTCCCACACATCCCTTCTTGACCTCCTTACTCACCTAGACTGCTGACCCAGAACATGATCATCAGCCTGGCGGACTGCTCCTGAGTCAGCGGGTGGAGCGGGTGGAGGATGGCCATCCTGGCAGCCACAGTCCAGGGTCTGAAGGGGCTGGTTGCACTGCTGACGGGCACTCTCCTGTCCTCACGTGCACAGTACTTCACAGCATACAGAGCACTTCCACCGCTGGAAGTTCACACTCGCCTCTATTTTGTAGAGGCGGAAAGAGGCCCAGAGAGGTGGGGAGACGTACCCCAGGCTGCACAATGCACCTCGGCTTCTGCTTAAGAGCATGGGCTCTGCAGCCTGGGTTTGAGGTCTCACTACGCCAGCCGTGGACAAACTACGGCCCCCGGGCCAGATCCGGCCCGTTTGAAATGAATAAAACTATTGAAAAAAAAAAACCGTACCCTTTTATGTAATGATGTTTACTTTGAATTTATATTAGTTCACACAAACACTCCATCCATGCTTTTGTTCCGGCCCTCCGGTCCAGTTTAAGCACCCATTGTGGCCCTCGAGTCAAAAAGTTTGCCCACCCCTGCACTACGCTGTTTTCTTGCTGTATGGATTTGAGTTACACACTTCACTCAAATCCCTTTCATCTAGAACATAAGGCTTATCTCCAGAGCCTCTTGTGCCCTGAGCCTGGCAGCCCAGAAGAAGGCCTGGTTAATGGAGACTTTAGATTCTGCTGATGTTCTAGGAGCTACTGAGCTGGAGTTTGGACTCATGAAGCTGGGTTACAGCCCCCCTATAGAAGCTTCTAGGAACCCCAGGGACCCACATTCCCACCTTATTTATTTAAAAAATTTTTTAAAAATCTTTATTGTTGAGATTATTATAGATGTCCCTCTCCCCACCCCCCATTGCCCTCCTCCACCTGGTTCCCACCCCACATCAGGCCTTCGACACCCTATGGTAATACATATATGCATATAAGATCTTTGTTTAATCCTTTCCGCCCTCCCACCCACCTTCCCTCTGAGAATCCTCAGTCTGTTCCATTTTCCATACCCCTGATTCTATTTTATTCACCAGTTTATTCTGTTCATTAGATTTCTTATTTGTTTAATTTGATTTTTAGATTCACTTGTTGATAGATATGTATTTGTTGTCACTTTGTTGTTCATAATTTTTTTTTAATTTTTAATATATTTTATTGATTTTTTACAGAGAGAAAGGGAGAGAGATAGAGAGTCAGAAACATCAATGAGAGAGAAACATCGATCAGGTGCCTCCTGCACATCTCCCACTGGGGATGTGCCCGCAACCCAGGTACATGCCCTTGACCGGAATCAAACCTGGGACCTTTCAGTCCGCAGGCCGACGCTCTATCCACTGAGCCAAACCGGTTTCGGCTGTTGTTCATAATTTTTATCTTTACCTTTTCTTCTTCTTCCTCTTCTTAAAGAATACCCTTCAACATTTCATATAATACTGGTTTGGTGGTGATGAACTCCTTTAGCTTTTTCTTGTCTGTGAAGCTCTTTATCTGACCTTCAATTCTGAATGATAGCTTTGCTGGATAAAGTAATCTTGGTTGTAGGTTCTTGCTCTTCATCACTTTGAATATTTCTTGCCACTCCCTTCTGGCCTGCAAAGTTTCTGTTGAGAAATCAGCTGACAGACGTATGGGCACTCCCTTGTAGGTAACTGACTGTCTTTCTCTTGCTGCTTTTAAGATTCTCTCTTTGTCTTTTGCTCTTGGCATTTTAATTATGATGTGTCTTGGTGTGGTCCTCTTTGGATTCCTTTTGTTTGGGGTTCTCTGGACTTCCTGGGCTTGTAAGTCTATTTCTTTCACCAGGTGGGGGAAGTTTTCTGTCATTATTCCTTCAAATAGGTTTTCAATATCTTGCTCTCTCTCTTCCTCTGGCACCCCTATAATGCGAATGTTGGTGTGCTTGGAGTTGTCCCAGAGGCTCCTTACACTATCTTCATATTTTTGGTTTCTTTTTCTTTTTGCTCTTCTGGTTGGGTGTTTTTTGCTTACTCATATTTCAAATCGTTGATTTGATTCTCAGAATCCTCTATTATTGAATCCCTGTATATTATTCTTTATTTCAGTCAGTGTATGCTTAAATTTTTTATTTTTTTTTTGGAAATGGAAGATATTTGAAGTTTGTAGAAGATTCTTGAGTAAACTTGTAACTGTGGTTTTGAATTCTATATTCAGTATTTTGCTTTCTTCCATTTCTTTCATTCGTGACATGTTTCTTTGTCTCTGCATTTTGGCTACTTCCCTGTGGTTGTTTCTATGTATTGGGTAGAGCTGCTATGTCTCCTTGAGTTGGTAGAGTGGCCTTGTGTAGTGGTGTTCTATAGGGCCCAGTGGCTCAGCCTCCCCAGCCTCTAGGTGCATCCCTTTGTGGGCTGTGAGCACAGTCTTGTTGTAGTTGAGACTTGATTGCTGTTGGTGTCACTGGGAGGAATTGACCTCCAGGCCAACTGGCTGTGAGGACCAGCTGTAACTGGTGGGAGAGCTGCTATGCAGGAGACTCCCCTATGGAGAGGACTTGCTCAGTGGGGCTTTGGTGCTGAGTCTGCCCCTTGAGTGTGTTGCTTATGGATGTGTAGAGTTGTAATCTGGTATGGGCTGACACTGACCACTGGGTACACTGGCTCTTGGGTCTCCAGGGAGGTGCAAAGTCAGCCACTGCCTGGGGCCACCCAGCAAGAGCTACAGAGAGATCTGTAGATTCCTCCTCTTTGTATCAGGTTTGGAAGCGCCTGGATGAGGCCCAGCTGTGAAGTAAGGCAGGCTGATGCTGGTGCCAGGTGTTGGGCCTTTTATTGATAAGTTTGGGGCTTCCTGACCCAGCTGCAGCTTGTTTCAGATTTTAGCCTGAGCAAGGACAGGCCATTCATATGCAAAAGCTGCTGCTTTCAGCTTGGGTGGGGTTATAAATTGGATGAGACGGGGTCTTAAGGAATCACCAGGGCAGAGGAAACAGAAATGGCTGCCAGTCAGCCCTGTGACCGAGGAGGTGCCAGTATAGGAACAATGATCCCTGTGAGCACCTCTGTCTAGGAGAAAGCCGCCTCTGAGTTCCTGTCCCGATGCCAGACAATCCAGTTCCTCCTCGTATGTGTCTGGTTTCCCCAAAGCCTTGCCCTGGTGCTGGAGCTCAGAGGAAGCAGGACCTTGTAAGTTCAGTATGTGTGCCAACCTTTTAAGATGAACAGCTGGGTCTCCAGTAACCTCCGTGTCACTGAGCCCCAATCACACTGGTTTTTACAGCCCGTAGTTCTTATTGCCTGTAGGGACTTCTTTTCCCAGCTGTGGAATCCTGGGCTGGGGGTCTGGTGCGGGGCTGGGACCCCTTGCTCCTCTGGGCAGCCTCTACTGAGATAGTCTCTCTTCCAATGAAAAAAGTGGCACATGTGGGTGCTGGACCTCTGCACCTCCTACCATCTCAGTGTGCTTTCTTCTTTACTTCTCTAGTTGTAGGACCTCCATTCAGCCAGCTTTCCTGCGGTTCTGGATAATGGTCGGTCTGTATTTTAGTTGTAAGTTTAATGTGGTTGTGGGAGGCGGTGAGTATGGGCGTTGCCTATGCTGCCATCCTCCTACTCTGCCTATTTTGCCCACATCCCCACCTATGACCGCTGTCTCCCCAGGGTCGGCTCCTGCTCGTCATCCTGTGCTCTGCGGGCTTCTCCGCTGCCTATATCCTGCTGTGCTTCTGGGCCTGCCTGCCCTTCTGCCTGGCCTCTTGCCTGGGCCCCCACCCCTCCAACTCCAGGCCCACGGCGCCAGGGCCCCTGCACTTCAGTGGATATAGCCGAGTGCCAGATGGGAAGGTGAGTCAGCCAGGCAGCATGTCGGGGGCAGGCCAAGGATGCCGGGGGTAGTGAGACCTGGGCTCCTGCCAGGGCAGCCTGGACCTGGCTGGGCGCCTCTGCTCGCCAGCTGTGTGGTGTTGAACAATCACTTCCCCTCTCTGAGCCCCAATTTCTAAGAGGAATGGATTTTTAAAAATTTTAAAAAAATAATTCTTTATTGTTGTATTACATATGCCCCCCTTTCCCCCCATTGACCCCCTCCCCCAGGCCCTCACCGCCCCGTTGTCTGTGGCCATGGGCCATGCATATATTCACACAAGGTTCTTGGTTGATTACTCCCCACGCACCCACCCTCCCCCGCCTTCCCGCCGAGATTCCGCACTCTGCTCCATGCTGAGGAAATGGGTTTTTTAATTCAACACATATCACCTGGGTGCTCTCAGCTGCGTGCTGGGGGTGGCTGGCCTCCTGGAGCTCCTGTTCCAGCTGGGAGACGACAGACAGCTCAGCGTCCTGCTGAGAGGCGCACTGTGTGCATCTTCAGATTTACCCGTGGACACACAAGCCCCTCGTTCCACAAGTGTGTATTTGGCGCCTTGAATGTGCCTTGCCTTGTGCTGGTTGCTGCTGGGGATAGAGATGCCACAGGGAAAGGTCATGACAACCCAGAGCTGTCCCTCTCATGGACAGACAGGGATGCCGGAGCCCAGGTGTCCAGGTAGCTGTGCCCCTGCCCTAACCGCACCCACCTCCCCATGCCAGCTCTGCCGGGCGAGGTCAGAGCACTTTACACCCCTCACCCTGACTTCAGTGGCCCCACGTGGTCGGTTTCTCAAAGGCCCATTTCTGAGTTGGAGGCCCTCTGAGTGCTGGCCGCAGGGAGGTGCGCTCAGGGACCCTGGCTTGGAGGAGAGCTATTTTGGGTCTTCGTTTCTTTGAGTCTCAGGTGCCTCCTCATCTGTAAAAGATGGTTGTTGTAGCTTCTCTCTCTGTAGGGCTGCTGTGAAGGTTCAGCTGGGTGCCCCTTAGGTTTGGCCAGGTGGGGGAGGGGGGCAAATGCTGGGGTGGCCTGGGGGGACTTGCCAAGGTGGTGACCAGTGTTCATTTCAGACTCTCAGAGCTCATGGGGATGTGGCCTCAGGATGGCCAGATCCTCTGGGTTTGTTCAGAGAAGCAGGAAATCCAAGTCTTGACTGTCGAGGGGGCTGGTTTTATAAATTAGGGAATAATTAAATATTTTAAAGACTGTGTGGGACAAGCGGAACACCCCCTGGGGCTGGCTGTGACCTTGGATCTGAACAGACCCCAGTTGTCAGGACAAGCTAAACTGAGGGCAGGAGAAGGGAGTCTGGCTCTTTATGGCTGGGTCTGGAAATGGTTCTACGAGTTCTTAAATCAACATGTTAGACATGAAGTGTCCCTGAGTGGGATATGACAGTGTGTCTTTTATCCACTGGAATTAATGTTCCATAGCCTTTACTGGCCTCCGTAAACTGCCTCCCCCAGCAGGGCATGGAGGCCTGGGGCGCGGAACGAGTCCTGCTCTGGGAGACCCCAGCCCTGACCCCAAGTGAGTATTTGCAGGCTGATTGGCTCAGCTTCTGCCTCTTGGGGGATAATGAGATGGGGGTTGGGCCCTCATTATGTCCTAACTCTGTGCCATAACTCTCTAGGCCAGCGGTTCTCAACCTGTGGGTCGCGACCCCTTTGGCGGTCGAACGACCCTTTCACAGGGGTTGCCTAAGACCATCCTGCATATCAGATATTTACATTACGATTCATAACAGTAGCAATATTACAGTTAGGAAGTAGCAACGAAAATAATTTTATGGTTGGGTCACAACAGGAGGAACTGTATTTAAAGGGCCAGAAGGTTGAGAACCACTGCTCTAGGCTATATATAAATATATATATAATTGTTATTATTAATAATTTCAGAGAAGAAGGGAGAGGGAGAGAGAGATGGAAACATCAATGATGAGAGAGAATCATTGATCGGCCCTGCCCCACACTGGGGATGGAGCCTGCAACCTGGGCATGTGCCCAGACCGGGAATCGAACCGTGATCTCCTGGTTCATATGTGGCTGGTCAACCACTGAGCCATGCCGGCCGGGCTCTCCAGGCATTTTTAATTGAATCCTCAAAACCTGGTCAAGTAGATGCTATTTTTATCCCCATTTTACTGCTAAGGGAATTGAGACTCAGTGAGGCAAAATGACTCGCCTAAGGCCATGCAGCTAGGAACAGGCTGAGCCAGGATTCAGGCTCAGAACCAGAGGTTCCCAACATTGTTGTGGACACTAAAGACTGCTTTAAAAAAATTTATTTTAAATTGACTTTCAGGCAGAGGGGAAGGGAGAGGGAGAGAGAGAGAAACACCGATCTGAGAATAGAACACGGATAGGCTGCTTTCAGCATATCCCCTATGGGGGATTGACCGTAACCCAGGCATGTGCCCTGGCTGGGAGTCAAACCAGCAACCTTTCAGTGCCCGGGATGGCACCCAACTAACTGAGCCACGCTGGCCGGGGCTAAAGACTGTTTTACTTCCGAAACTGGACACATGAGTGAGGCTCAGCAGAGGAAGGAGTGACTAAGAATGGTTTTGAAGAGTTGGAGTTTATATTTACTTGACAAACACATATAGAACACCCAGCCTGTGCCCAGCTAAGTGCTTTATAAATATTTGCTCATATAACCCTACTAACGAATTCACGATGAAGAGCTGGGTGGGGCCTCAGCAGTAGGGACAAGGGCTGTGTTTGGCTAATGAAAAGCATAGGGCTCTGAACCCGAACCTCAGCTCTGCCACTTGCTGTGGGTATGGCCTTGGGAAAATCACTCCGCCTGCCCAGCCTCAGTTTCCTCATCTGTTAAATGGGTTGATAAAATAATTTGATACTTTGATACAGAGATCAAGTGAGTTCAGTGGATGTTTCTAGGGGGAGGAAGCAGAGAGTGGAGGTTATGTGCCCTCACCTCTCTCTCTCTCTCTCTCTCTCTCTCTCTCTCTCTCTCTCCCCCCCTCTCCCTCCCCCCCCCCTCCCCCTGCAGCCACTAGTCCGAGGGCCGTGCCACAGCTGTGCCGTGGTGTCCAGCTCTGGCCAGATGCTGGGCTCAGGCCTGGGCACCCAGATCGATGGTGCTGAGTGCGTGCTCCGCATGAACCAGGCGCCCACCGTGGGCTTCGAGGTGGACGTGGGCCAGCGCAGCACCCTGCGCGTGATCTCGCACACGACCGTGCCGCTGCTGCTCCGCAACTACTCGCACTACTTCCAGCAGCAGCCCCGCGACACGCTCTACGTGGTGTGGGGCCAGGGGAGGAACATGGACCGCACGCTGGGCGGCCGCACCTACCGCGCGCTGCTGCAGCTCACCAAGATGTACCCGGGCCTGCAGGTGTACACCTTCACCGAGCGCATGATGGCCTACTGCGACCAGGTCTTCCAGAACGAGACGGGCAAGAACCGGTGAGCGGGGCCTGCCTGCTGGGGCCTCCCTGGTGGCCGGGTCAGCAGGGACGGAGGCAGATGTGGCCCTGCCCTCTCAGGGGGAGCCGGGATCAGAGAGACGTCATTCATCAGATTATCACACAGCTCGAGGCGGCGGAGAGGGGCACTGACCGGCGTGGGGCAGTCAGGGAGCTCTTCCCTCTCCCCTGGCCGCCTCCTCCACACATCTGCTCCTCTCCCCCCGCCCCTCCCCAGCTCAGGAAATACAGCTGCAGTGCCCAGGTTTCCACCCAACTCCCCTCCTTCCATCACCTGCCACACACAATGGCGTCTTGAATCTCTCCCAGGTGCCGCCGTCCCCCCCGCCCCACGCCCTTGCAGCACCTCCTCATTGGTGTTGCTGAATCCTCCAGTGTCAGCTCCAGCCACCCCATCAGTCACCTGCCCTCTACCTCACAGCAGCTTCGATTCCCAGGGGGAACAAAGTCCAGACTCCACCTTCTCCCCTCCCCTGGCCTACAAGCCTTGTATGATTTGGCCCCTGCCTGTCCTGTTCCAGCCATACTGGCCGTCTGCGCTTCCTACATATCCACCCTGGTTCTCGCCTTCATGCCTTCGCATACGTCGTTCCTTCTGCCTAGAATGTTCTTCCCCCAAATCTCCTATGACTAACCTCTTCCTGCCATTTAGGCCTGTGTGGAATGTCACCTCCTCGGAGAAGCCCTCCCTGATCACCCCATCTGATGATACCTCCCACCTGATACTCTTTATTCCTTTGTTGCCTTGTCTTCTCAGCTGTTCTCTCCCAGCTGCCTCCTCCTTTGAGAGGAGGGTATGGCAGAGTCCAGTTTGAGTGAATGAACCACCTCATGATGCCTCTTAGAGGTGGAGGTGAGTGGCCCTCAGATGGGAGAGAAACCAGTGCTGGTGTCTGAGTGAGTGAAGGTCTTGTTCCGAGTCAGGTGAACTAGTGAAGGCAGGGGCGTGCTCCTGGGCTGACAGTGTTCCCTCCCCATAGCCACCTATAATTATCCCATTTCAGAGATGGGTCACTGTGGCTCAGAGAGGTTCATGAGCAAACCAGACACTCCTGAGCAGGTACAGGATTTGAATCAAAGACCATTTGACTCCAGACCACCCCCTTTCCCACTTTCAACCACTGCTCTGCTGCCTCCTGCCCTCTCCCCAGGCTTCGTCCCTTAGATCCAGAGAGGATGTGGCCAGGGCCCCCTCCCATCTTCCGAAGGTTGGCTCACGCCCTGCGTGGGTGGTGAGGGTTGAACAGATCTGGGTTTGTGTCCAGCTCTGCCTGTTGCCCGCTGCAGACCTCGGGCCGGCTCTGTCCCCTCCCCGGCCTCCCCCAGGACCCCTCTGTGGGGGTCAAGGTGGGTGGCCTTCAGCTGGGAGGGTAGCCAGGGCTGTGCCTTGAGAAAGCCAAGGCGAGGGCCTCCACCAGCCCCTTGTTCTGACTGAGGGGAGCGGCCGGCTGACTGTGCTTTCCCTGCCAGGAGGCAGTCAGGCTCCTTCCTCAGCACCGGCTGGTTCACCATGATCCTCGCCCTGGAGCTATGTGAGGAGATCGTGGTCTATGGGATGGTCAGCGACAGCTACTGCAGGTCAGGCCGGCCAGGCCGGGGCAGGAGGGGCGCTGGGGAGGCCGGGAGGACCGTGGGCCTCGTGCTGGAGGATTGGGAGCTGTGGGGCGCAGGGTGTGTGGGCTTCCGGGTGGGTGGTGGAGGCACGGACATCCCTGGAGCTGGTGCCCAGGGGGAAGGGGCTCGGCCCCTGGGACTGGCTCGATGCCAATCTCCACTCTGCCCGTGTGGCCTTAGGTCAGACACGCCACCTCCCAGCACCTCCATTTCCTTATTGTGACAGAGAGAAAACAATCACACCTTCTTCAGAACGTTATGCAAACATTTACAGAGAGAATAACTTACAGAAGTACATATTGCAACATTGGGGCCGAGTACATGTATGTGACATATTACGTCCGAGTTTTTACTTTAGATCTCATTCTCTTTCGGTACTATTGTAACTAATAAGTCCAGAAAAGGCCCCATGCTTTCACCCTCTCTTCTCTTTGGAACTTATTTGTTGAGCACATGGGTGAGTTGGCAGGAGCCTGTGTGCCCTATGCCGAGGCACCTGGGCAGAACACCTGTGGGCATGATGCCAACGAGTAGGTGGGTGGGTGCCACAGGGCATGAGGGTTCCTTACCAGGAGCCTAGCACCAGCAAAGCACTTCGTAGTCGTCAACTCTTTTAAAAATATGTTTTTATTGATTTTATTTTATTATTATTTTAAAATATATTTCAGAGAGGAAGGGAGAGGGAGAGATAGAAACATTAATGATGAGAGAGAATCATGGATCATCTGCCTTCTGCACACCCCACACTGGGGACTGAGCCCACAACCGGGCATATGCCCTGACTGGGAATTGAACCGTGACCTCATGGTACATAGGTCGATGCCTAACCACTGAACCACACCAGCTGGGCTGTAGGCTTCGACTTTTTGACCTGTGGACTCAGCAGGCAAGGTGGATATCACCGTTCCCATTTTACAGATGGCTTATGGAGGCTTACAGGGTATGCCTCTGCCCTCTAGCCAACCAGCTTGCAAGAGGCGGAACTGGGGATCAAACTCTGGCCTTTGGGATGCATAAGCTGCCCTGCTCCTCCGTCTGTCCCGGCCTCCCCCGGGACAGGAATGGGACCCCGGGAGCCTAGAGTACCTGGTGAGGGTGGCTGAGGTCAGTGCGGGGTCTGGCGGGAGGCCGGAGAGCTCTGGTGCCCACACCTGTCCCTGTTCCCCACCCACAGGGAGAAGAGCCACCCCTCAGTGCCTTACCACTACTTCGAGAAGGGCCGGCTAGACGAGTGTCAGATGTACCTGGCACACGAGCAGGCGCCCCGCAGCGCCCACCGCTTCATCACCGAGAAGGCCGTGTTCTCCCGCTGGGCCAAGAAGAGGCCCATCGTGTTCGCCCACCCGTCCTGGCGGACCCAGTAGCGCCGCTGCCCAGCCGGCCGCACCGCCTTCGCCAGGCCTCCGTTCCATTCACTCAACCAAAACCTTTAATTTATGGATCCTGCCTCTGCCACATGCCGGGTGGACCTAGGTTTCCTTCCTGCCCTGCCGCGGGGACACCTGGAGCCGTCTGGGGCCTCCAGACTTGAAGGGGAGGAGAGGGGCCATGGTGACCTGTGTACACTCCTCCATCCCCCTCCCTGAATAAGCTGAGTCTTTTTTTATTTTTAATATATTTGTATTGATTTCAGAGAGGAAGGGAGGAAGGGGGGTGGGGAGAGAGAGAGAGAGAGAGAGAGAGAGAGAGAGAGAGAGGGAGAGAAACATCAATGAGGAGAGAGAATCATTGATCAGCTGCCTCCTGCACGCCCCACACTGGGGATCGAGCCCGCAACCCGGGCATAACCATGACCTCCTGGTTCATAGGTCGACGCTCATCCACTGAGCCACGCTGGCTGGGAAATAATCTGAATCTTAACTTTGGGGTTCATCCCACCTCAGCGTCTGTCCAGTGGCCTTTGCCCCCAGGGCTGATGGTCCCCCACTCACCAGCTTCGTGACCTTCAGCCTTGTACCAGCCCGGGCCCTTCCTCTCCACACTCCCCCTCCCCCACCTTTGGTGTCACACTTCCCAAGTTGGTTGCCCCGGTCAGGGCAGCCCAGAGCTTGGTGTTTGTTGGGTGAAGGGGCCTCTGAACTGTGACTTGCCAGGGCCACCTCGAGTGTACGGGTAAACGTGTTTTCTGGAACCCTGTCTGCAGTGTGGTTATGTGTCTGGGGGTAAGAAGTGGGGCTCCTCGCCCTGCCACAATCCCATAACCTGTGGACCGGAGGGCAGGCCCGGTCCTGGGCCCCTCCCCAAACCCACAGCTGGCTGGGCTTTTGGCTGTTTAATCTGCCTGCGAGTTGCTTCCCCAAGAGCCCGCCCCTTCCCCACCAGGTCAGAGAGTCTGGCCCGTGGCTGTGCTGGCGTGTTCCGACTCAGAGGCTTCCCTGGGACGCCCGCCTGCACCCAGTGGGCAGAGGGTGGAGAGTCGGGCCTGGAAGGAAACGACTCAGGGTGGGAAGGAAATTCCTCTACCCCACACCACGCCCCTGGTCCAGGGTCACATTCCAAGGACGTGGCCAGTTAAATTCCCTATTAACTGGGGTTGGTTACACTGCAAGAAAGGAAGGCTGGGAGGGTGGGAGGGGCAGGCCCGAGGCTTGCCTTCTCTGAGCTTCACTCCCCTCACCTGGGATGTGGCGAGAGCCTGCCCACCAGCAAACAGCTAGCAAGGGTGTGCAGCCACCTGGCAGAGGGGCCCTGGGAGCCCACTTCACAGAGCAGGTGAAGCCAGGATGGAGCCCTGGGTCTGAGAGCTGAGCCCGATGTCTGGGCCCTGAACCAAGGGGCTGGAAGGAGCCACAGGACTTCACACCCCTCCCTCCTTTCCTCCCACCTTCCTTCATCGGAGACCGGGAGACTGGCTAATGGAGGACCAGCTGGGATGGAGCCCGGGGCTCCAGCTTCAGTTCCAGGAGTCGCCTCCTCATGGGCATGGGACCCGGAGGGCCCTACGCTGGTTTAGCTGCTGATGCCGACCTGCAGTTCTACCGAGTTGTGTGTGTGTTTAACAAGGGGCAGCATGTTTTCGTTTGTACCGGGCCCCACAAATTCTGCAGCTGGTTGTGGGTGACCTTCTCAAGAGAGGCTGCAGGCCTGGCATCTGGCCCTTTGTGCCTGCCTCCGCCTGCCCAGTGCCCGGCAGGCCCAGAAGGCCCTGCAAGCGTGGGAGGAGGGCGGAGGGCAGAGAGCCCTGAGCTGGGGGAGAGGAGCTCTGTGGTGGGAGGGGCAGGCTGGCAGCTGGACCACAGCTGCTGGCCTGGCAGCGGTGGGGTCTGGGCAGGTGTCAGGCAGCAGGAAGGGGGGTTGTGGCCTGGCAGGCAGGGGGCTGGTGGAGGAACTGGGCGCAGAGGGAGGCTTCTGGAGCCAGACCCACCTCATTCTGGCGCTGCTTCCTGCCGTGGGATCCTGGCGGATTAGTGCCTCTTTCTGGGCCTGTTTCCTCGTCGTACAAAAGCCGTCCTTCCCTCACAGTATGAATTCAGGGAGGTGGCTGTCCCAGGGCTGACACTTGATATGTGGGGGTGGCCTTGCTCACCCATTGTCCTTGGTGGTGACAGATGGATGTGAGGACCCCCCCCCCCCCTGCTCACAGCCTCGTCCTTGGGCTCCAGGGCCCAGGGCCGCTGGTCCTGTTGGACTCAAACTGACGCCCCTCCCAGGCGGTTGCCTCCTCCCACTCCCTCCCCTGGAATACACTGGCTTCACCCTCGGGTGCAGGGACAGAGGTGCCTCTGTCCTGGCCCTGCCCCCAGGCGGGTGTTTACTGCTGGGTTGGTCCAAGTAACATGTATTTCTGGGCTTTGTGACCTGGCAGGAGCCACCCCAGCTACTTCCTCCAGGAACACTTCTTCCCGGTGGCTCCTGGTCGGCCTGGTGGCCGCCAGCCTGCAGAGGTGGCTCCTGGTCGGCCTGGTGGCCGCCAGCCTGCAGAGGCCTCGCTGGGGACCCGCTTCCCTCCACTGCAGCTCCTGCAGCTTCCGGGGGTGAGTTGGGGCAGGAGCCTCCCAGCTCTGAGGAGTGTGGTGGGAGCACCCTGGTGTGCAGCCCCTCTCCGGGCCTCTGTCCACATCCTGGCTCCTTTGTCCCCTCAGCAGGCCAGCTGGGACCTCTACTTCCTCCTCCTGGGGCCAGAGGGGAAGCCAGGTGAGCCTCACAGCCTGGAGGTGTCCTAAGGAGCCTCTGTCCAGGTAGGAACTTGGGGCCAGGCCAGGAACTCTCACCAAACCTCTCGCCAGGAGCGGAAAGGGACTTGGTTCTTGCAGGTTCGGGTCCGCACCCATGTCCAGGGCACCCGGGCCAGTCTGCCGGCTCCCATCTCTGCCCCCGAAGAACCAGGCACCGCCCAGGGCTTGGGAACAAGGGCTGTGGAGCAGCTGCTGCGTGCAGGCCCTCGCCCAGCGGCTCTCTCGCCTCTTTGGAGGGAGAGGCCTCAGTCCACGGCCTCTGGGCGTCAGGTGGTCTGGGCCCATGGCCATCCTTTCCTTATCCTTCGGGGCATAAGCTGAGGGCTGTCTGGAGGTTCCGTGTATGTACAGGCATTGATGCAGGACTTAAAAGCTTAAATTCCCAGTAAAGCAAGAATAGAACCATTTCCTCATACCGCAACCTACTTGATTTTAGTAAGTAAGTTAGCAACCTGACGAGAGCGGCTCCTCCCCTGGCTCCGCCCAGAACCCAGTGGGGAGTTTGGGGCAAGTCCTGTTCCCTCCATGGGTCCTGGTTTCCGTCTGTGTAAAGTGAGAGCGAGGGTGGCAGCTGAGCTCTCTGAGGACTCTTTCCGGGACCCCGTGGGAGGGGAAAATCCTAACTGCACAGATTGCTGAGTGCCAAGAAGGGAGGTCACGCCTGGGATCCCCGCCCTGGGGCAGGAAGGGTTGAAACCGAGGCCATGGGGAGCGGCTCAGGGTGGGGGCACCCCAGGAGTGACCACAGCCACCCATCCGTGAAGTCCCCGCCATGGGCGAGGGCAGGCCTGGCGCTGCAGAGCGGAACGGCTTGTGGTTAGTCACCCCCGGACCCGTGCACACTCTGAGCCTCCCTTCTCCCGAGAGTGGTGGCACCGGCAGCGCCCAGCTCACAGGCTGCGGGAAGCATTCAGGAGGTTTGTTCGCAAAGTGCTGTCACAGGAGAGAGCACGTGACGCGTGGGAGCTGATGTTTTCTGATCCTCGTCGTTATTGCAGTGGTTGTTATTGTTCTTGGGCTGCCGGGTGAACTCAAAAAGAGTCTGTAGGCTTTGGCTAGAAATAAGTGGTAAGAATTGGTTATTCAAGAGCCTTAGGGCTTGCAAACTGGGAAGACAGTTAGGCCATAGCCAGAGTGTTCCGAGGAAGGAAGGAAAGCTGAGGGTCCTTCAGTAACAAGTCCACTCCGGAGAGGAAGCACTCCTGCCTCTCAGCGCTGGCAGTGCCAGGTGTGATCCTCTGTGACTGGCGCTCACCATGCCGGTCTGGGTCCATGGCATCCTTTCCTTATCCTTCGGGCACAAGCAGACGGCTGTCTGGAGGTTCCGTGTATGTACAGGCATTGATGCCGGACTTAAACGCTTACATTCCCAGTAACGCAAGAATAGAATCATTTCCTCATACCTCAGCCTACTTGATTTCAGTAATTTAGCAGCCTGACTAGAGTGGCTCCATTTTATTTCTTCACTCTATTCCTCAAGGCCCGGGAAAGGTGAGCCAGCCCCCACCACAGAGCCTCTTGGCGCGAGCCTGGGTCCTGAGACATGGCAGGCCTGAGGGGGGAGCTCCAGGTCCAGATTTGGTCCAGGAGCTGGGCTGCTGCACCCTCATTTCCAGAGGCCACTGGCGTGGGTCAGGGAGAAGGGCTGACCACAGGATGCTCCACCCTAGCCAGCCACCAGCCTGCCGGGTGACCTCTGGCAAGGGGCTCCCCCTTTTCTGAGCCCCAGCAGTCGGTTCATTAGGCTTCCTGCCTGCCAGCCCTGGCCCCTGCTCTGTGGTTTTCCATGCCGGCAGGCAGCCAAGCAGGGCCAGGGATGGGGTGAGGCTCAGGAAGCAGTTGGAAGTGACACCAGAGGGACAGGAAGCCTTGAACCCTTGGCCCTCCCCTCTTGTGCCCACTGCCTAGTGGCCATGTCTCCAGAGCCTGGACTCTGGACCTTGCCCCGCCCCCTTTTGTTTTAATTAAAAACAAAGTGATATTAACTCATCAAATTAGTCCAATGCAAATGACCTGGAAGTTTATAAAGCAGAGAGTGAAGGTAGCACCCACCCATCCCACCCCGAATCCACTCCCCAGGGGAAACTACGGCCAGTAGTCCCGCTTAGATTATTCCAGATAGCTTCTGTGTGCATTTACAAGCACATACACATCTACGGATATGTTTTGTTTTTTTAAAAAAGGAATTATACTATATATGCAGTTTCTTTTTAATATATTTTTATTGATTTCAGAGAAGAAAGGAGAGGGAGAGATAGAAACATCAATGATGAGAGAGAATCATTGATTGGCTGCCTCCTGCAGGCTCTCCCAACTGGGAATGGAGCCCGCAAGCTGGGCATGTGCCCTGACCGGGAATCGAACCGTGACCTCCTGGTTCATAGGTTGATGCTCAACCCCTGAGCTATGCTGGCTGGGATGCAGTTTATTTTTTATAAATTAAAAAAAATAAGTTTTCAGTATAACCATTGTGTAACCATTATCTTAAAATTTTTGGAAAATATAGTTAAGCCAAAAGAGAGAGAGAGAGAGAGAGAAAAGCAGCTCCTAATCTCACCATTCCAGAAATAACTACTATTAACACCTTCATCACTGTGATAGGCAAAAGGTATTTCCCTATTTTCATTTCTCTTATCTTTCTTTTAAAATACGGCGGTACACAGTGACAGCATTTATCATACTTGTAAGTTATAAAACATAATTTAATGAACCTCTCGAACCCATGTCCCACTTAAAGACCAGACCTTTATAGAAGTCCACACCCCAGTGTCTCCTCCCCTCTCCCACATCTCTGCCTCCCCAGCAGACAACTGTGTTCTTCTTGACTTTTGCTTTGAAAACTCTAATCACTCTGATAGGCAAAAGCTCTCTCCTGTCCCTGGCTATGAGAAGTGGCCTGCTGCCGGCTATACGCTCAAACAATATATCGTGGAGCTCATTTGTCTTCGGAGACGTGTCTTTTTCATTCCGTATGTCTCTCAGATTCATCCTTGTAATCGTAGCTCATTCATTTCCCCCTGCTGTTTAATATTCCACACCGTGAAAGTACCGGCACGTAGGAAAATTCCATTCTGCTGCTGACAGCTATATGGGCTGTTTCCAGTTTAGTATCATTTCAAGCAATGCTGCTAAGGAACTTTGTTGTTGACACAGGCAAGAATTTCTCCAGGGTATGCTTGTACTCCGTTGTTTTCCAAAGGGGATTATAGAGATGCAGCTCTTTGACTTGCTTTCTTCACTTAAACATCTTCTGCGCATCCTGGCCAACTCTTGTCAGTACCTATTGATCCACATCGTTCATTTCAGCAGGCCTGCGCCTCTATCCCATAGGCCCCTATCATGGCTCCTGGCTCTTTTTCACTGTCCCGTAAAATGATGGTAACGAACCGGAGCATCATAGGAAGTCATCACATTTTTAATCCTGACAACACCCTCGAGGGGGTGGTTCTCCCTGTACCCCAGCGGCAGGCCGGGGAAGGGGGAGTGAAGCGCCAAGGCCATGCAGAGAGGGCGGCAGAGCTAGACTGGAACCCAAGGTGGACCCTGAGCTCACTCAGGGTGATCACGGGGTGCAGGCCTCCCGAGGCCCTGGGTAAGCGAGCCCAGGGGGAAACGCAGCTGCTCCCAAGCGCAGCGTGCGCTGGGACTCAGTTTCCCCGTTTCGGTCGTGGTGACAATAAAGTGAGATCGCCAAGGCGGGGAGGCTATTTTTATGGCCACTACGCGGCCCGGAGGGGAAAGCGAGGCCTCGCTCGCTTGGCCCGCGCCCCAGGGTCGCCCACCCCTCGCCCTTCGCTCGGGCGCCGCCCGGGGGAGGAGCCAGACCGCCCCCTCGCGGCTCCGTGCGCCTAGCGGGCCTGAGCCGAGCGCGAGCGGCGGCGCTAGGACCCGGCGCGCGAGGCGAGGCTGCGGCGGGGCCTGGGCGGCCGGAGGAGCGGGGATCCCGGACCCGGCGCTCAGCCCCGGCGCCATGTGAGGGGCTCGGGGGCCGCGGGGGGCCGGGCGCTCCCCGGGGGAGGTGAGCGGGCGCCGCGGGGGCGGGCAGCGGGAGGGGGCACGGCCTGCGCCCGGGGGGAGCCGGAGCCCCGGGGGATGGGGTGATGGTGCGGGGGCCCGGGGGGCCCGAGACCCACTCTCTCGGCACCCGTGCCCGGAGGTCCCGGTCCTGGTACCCAAGGGCTGTGGCGGGGTTCGCGGGGCCTCCTGCCTCTGTCCACCCCCTGGAGCTCGGGGACCCGGCCGCCCACCTCCCCCAGCCGGGCCTTGGGCTCTGGACCCCCCGGAGTGCGGGAGTTGGTGGGTCAGCGCCAGGGGGTGCAGAGGATGAGTCGCCCCCACCCCAGGTGGACCCGCGGGCACGGCGCTCCCCCGACCGGGAATTAGGTGCCCCTCCCCCTTCTCCTCGGAGCCCTCCTCCCACGCTGCTCGTGGGGGCGCCCCGACCCTGGGGGAGGACTCCCCAAGCTGGGCAGGCAAAGCCCCCAAACAGAGGGCAGGGTGTGGTCCCCGCGCTCACCCTGAGGACGCAGCCCTCCTGCAGGGCCCGCCTTGGGCCTGAGTCCACGCTCGGCCCGTGCTCCGGGCGGCCGTCTTCCCAGCCCAGCCAGCGCTCCCCAGCAGGCCTCCCGGTCCAGGCCCGAGCTGGGCACACACTCGGGGGCCTCTGGCCCATTCCAGCCCTGGGTATCCTGAGGGAGACCCGTCCACCGCAGCCCTGGGCTGCTCCCTGGAGACAAGGCTCCGACAGCCCGGCCAGGCACTTTGCCTCTCTGAACCCCAGTCTCCTCTCTGAATTGGGGGGTGAGAGCCCCTGCCATGCAGTGTTGCCCGGAAGAGTGAGAAAGTGGGTGACCCTTCGCTGGCTCCTGTATACATCCCTGTTGGACGAGTGAAGTCGCTGGGCCCGGGGTCAGAGGAGAGGGGATGTTTTGCTGACAAACTCAGTGAGCCAGGCCTCGAACAATGAATCACCGCCTTCGGCCGCTGGCACGGACCCAGCCCCTGCCAACCCCGTGCCTCCCTTGCCACTCGGGCTTGAATCCTCCCAACATCCCCTTGAGTTACCTGCTCTTCTGCCTCCCATTTCACAGATGAGGAAACTGAGGCTCAGAGAGGTACATGGCTTGCCCTAAGGCCTCGCAGCCAGTAAGTGGTGGAACCGGGATTCACACTTGAACCTGAGATGCTGTATTGACCATGGCCTCCTCCAGAGCAGGATTGTGACGGGGCTGACCGGGGAACCATGGTCCTGGCCGAGGGCACTGCTCAGGCAAAGGTGGGAAAATTGGGGGGGCGGGGGTGTGCGTCTGGGACCTGGAGTGCTCTAGAGTGTCTGGAGCCTGGGGCATCTGAAGGAAAGGATAGTGAGGGAGGAGGCTCAGCGCAGAGGCCATGAAGGGCCTGGAATGCCAGAGGCGACTGACTGATGGGGGCGACCCTGGAATTCCGGACTCCCACCTTTTGCTCTAATGGGCTCTGAGTCGAAAGACAGGCCGCTCTTCCCTTCTGATGAGCCTCCGTTTCCTGATCTGTACCTGGTGAGAGTCCCCGGCCTCCCCGACTGGCTCCGAGGGCCGGCCTGGGAGAAACCCCGAAACCTGAAACCCGGCCCTGAAACCCGGCCCGGAGGCAGGCGGGGGTGGGGGTCGGGGGGGGGGGGGGGGCGTGGCAGATCGAGGCCGGGTTAGGTCGTGGGCGGAGTCAGGGCTTAGCCAATCAGGAGCATCGTGTGTGTGTTTGGCCGGAGGTTCTCTGGCTATTCCTGGTGGCGGTGTAGGAGTAAACAGCAGCTAGGTCAGGGGGCGGAGATGGTGGCGGGAGCTGGGAGGCCGGGGAAGGGAGGACGGAGCTGGGGATCCCCGAGCCCCCAGCTTCTCCCTTTGCACTCTGCCAACCTCAGAGCCGTCTGGACTTGAATCAGCTGGAGGCGGCTGGACACAAGTACTTGTTTCCGTTTGACAGGTGGGGACATTGAGATCTGGGTCCTACAAGGAGGGGCGGGGTGCCGGCGGGGGAGCGAGGAGCAGACCTGGGCGTGTTCCCTCACAGCAGAGGCCTCTGAGGCGGGGCAGGAAGGAAGGGCTGCCCAAGGGTGCCTTGTCCCCTGAGGATCCCACACACCCTCAGGGTGGGGCAGTGATTGTCGCCATTTGACAGATGAGTCTGTGTCCTTAACCCCTAAGATCTTCCCGTTAATGAATGAAATCATACAGCCATCCTCTGGCACCCATCCTCAGGGCTCTTGGCGGCACAGCAGAGGATGTGAGTGAGGATCTGTGAGAGCTCTCGCCTCCTGGGGCGGTGACACTAGGGGAAGTTCCCGGCCCACCTTGGGCTTGGAGGATGAGTGGGCGTGAGCAGGGTGCTGGAAGGTGTTGCAGACAGTTTATGCAAGACCTGGAAGGGTGCAGGTGCAGAGGAGTTTGGGACCCACAAGAGATGTTGCTTTATTCCAAGGCCCCGGGGACCTGAAGCAGGGTTTAGAGTAGGGGTTTCTGCTGGATGGGGGGCAGGCCCCCAGCATGGGAGCCAGCTGCCTAGGAGAGCCAGGGTAAGGAGAGGACCCTGCTGAGAGGGCAGGAAGAGTCAGGGTTCTGCCACCACGCGGCCCTGTGACCTCAAGCAGTTTTCTGCCTTTTGGGCTGTAGTGTCTCCATCTGCAAAATGGATACAGCCCTGAGTCTTGAAGTCAGGGGTAGGTAGGAGCGCTGGCAGGGGTGGTAGGGAAGGTGTAGCCTTTGACCAGCTGGACCTCCGGGAGGGCACTCAGGCCATAACCCTTTCGGTAACTTGCAGGTGTGAGCCCACATCCCTGCCCCCTGGGCCACGTGCAGGACGCTGGCTCCTGCCCCTCAGCAGACGCCGGAGAGAGATGAGTAGCAACAAAGTAAGTCCTTCTTCATTTCTTACTCCATCTGAACCTCTTACTTCTCTCAGGGAGATGGGTTTCTAAGGACCGAGCCGCCACAAGTCTCTCTTCCTTGCCTAGATGAGGCTGATGCCTGGCAGGCCCTGGTTTGAGCCCTGCTGTACTACTGATCTGTGCGGCTTTGGGCAAACTCCTGCCTTTCTGGGCCCAGGTCCAAAGTGACTTGGAATGCTGTGCAGGGGTCGGGGGGGGGGGGGGGAGGTAGAGGTGAGTGGGAGTCTGGGGGAGGGGGCAGAGGTCAGTCAAAAGTGACAGAATGTTGTGAGCATCCTTCTGAGGGTGTCCCCATCATCCACGCATTCATGCTTTCCTGAGCACCTGCTATATGCCTGGTCCTGCATACCCCCTCCCGAGAATCCACTGCAGCAGAGCCTTGGCAGAGCCTGAGGGTTGGGGGCAGGGTGATGTGGGTGTATCAGTCTGGGTCCAGTCGGCAGAGAGAATCCACATAGTAATTTTAATGTGAAGAGTTATTAACTATAATCGGGCAGGAGTAATGAGGGATTGGAACTCTAAGGAATACAGGAATAGCAGGTACAAGGAGCAGCCGCCAGCCCCAGGGCTGAGATCCAGGCCTCCTGGGGAGGGCACAGCTATGGGCCACTGGATGGCAGAGAACTCAGTGTGGTGCCCTACTGGTGACGTTATCACAAGCCCACCCAGGAGGCACCCAGCCTCCAGGCAGAACTGCTCCAGGGAGGGAGCTGGTGGTCTCTGGATGTTGCAGGTGGTTGGGTGACAGATCGAGCTCCACTCTGGAGAGGTTGTGATCACAGCAGGATCAAAACTGCCTGAGGGCAGGTACTGCAGGTTCTGGAGGAATCTGCTGGGTGCTGGCTTCCTAGCAGGCCTGCTGGTTGGGCGCTGGAGATAAGCATGTGCCTAAGAAGGCAGAGCATCAGAAGCAGGAAGTCAAGGCCTTTCTTCCTGCAGTGTCTCTCCAGCGCCCTCTCCCGACAAAGCTTAACATGCAGTTAGCTGGCAAGAAAAAACCAAGAGCCCAGATCCATTCTCACAGAGCTGCCAAAAAGGGTGAACTTGGAGCTGAGAAACAATACACGATAACCAGCACAGAGGGCTCCACAGGCTCAGCGAGCCTTGCAGACCCACACAGACGGCCTCCTGGGGAGGGCACAGTGGGCAATTTGGATATGACCTTCCTGCCCTGTCATCCCCACGGTGGTGCACTCTCTACCCAGGCAGCCCAGTCCCTGAGCAGATCCCCTCCAGGGGTAAAGGAATGATGAACATGTATGGAGAGTTGCTGTGTGGGGAAGGCCTGGGTCCTCTCATTTGACTATCTCACCTGTCTCCCAGCATCCTCTCAGCTGAAGGAAGCCTTCTGACCCCCACATACAGTCCAATCCGGCAGACCCTCCTTCTGAGAACCTTCTATGCTCCGGTCCCCACCCTGACAGCTGGGAAGCAGTGGGGAGTGAGACTGACCCAGTCCCAGCCGCGGAACTCATGGCAGCGTGATCAGTGCTCAGGGGGCTGCGGGAGGCCTTCCTGGAGGAGGTAGTGTTTGGGGTGAGGAGCAGGCGTTAGCCAGGTGTTGCAGGTGGTAATGAGGCAGGGCGCGGAGCCTGCACGGTCGCTGGGACCTCACCAGTCCTCTCCCCTCTCAGGAGCAGCGGTCAGCAGTGTTCGTGATCCTCTTTGCTCTCATCACCATCCTCATCCTCTACAGCTCCAACAGTGCCAACGAGGTCTTCCATTATGGCTCCCTGCGCGGCCGCAGTCGCAGGCCTGTCAACCTCAAGAAGTGGAGCATCACCGATGGCTACGTCCCCATTCTTGGCAACAAGGCAGGGCAGCCACTTTGGGGAACTCCCTGGGAGCTGGTCCTCCCCATTGCCTGCCACCCCTGCTCCCTCCTCCCTTTCTCTCCACTCTCGCCATCCCTCCTAAAGGAAAGGGTGGGCCCTGGGAGTCAAGGCTCTGATTCAGAGAGGACGGGAGAGGAAGAGAGAGATAGAAACAATGATGAGTGAAAAACATGGACCAGCTGCCTCCTCCACACCCCCTACTGGGGATCGAACCCGCAACCCGGATATGTGCCCTGACCGGGAATCGAACCATGACCTCCTGGTTTGTGGGTGGATGCTCAACCACTGAACCACACCGTCCAGGCCAACCATGAGTTCTCGAAGGCAGGAGTGGGGTCTCTTTTGCTGGTTGCTCTGTCCTGCGTACTTGACCATTAGCCAGCTTGGTATGAATGTTTGTTGAATGAATGGGCGTCAGTTTCTCTGTCTTTAAAATGGGCATAATTATTTTGGCCTCCTGGAGGCCTGACTGTACAGAGCCCAGGGCCTGGCACCGAGAGTGGTTGTGACAAGTGTTGACTTTCCTTGTTCCCCCCAGACACTGCCCTCCCGGTGCCACCAGTGCGTGATTGTCACCAGCTCCAGCCACCTGCTGGGCACCAAGCTGGGTCCTGAGATTGAGCGGGCCGAGTGCACAATCCGCATGAATGACGCGCCCACCACGGGCTACTCAGCAGATGTGGGCAACAAGACCACCTTCCGCGTGGTGGCCCATTCCAGTGTCTACCGTGTCCTAAAGAGGCCCCAGGAGTTTGTCAACCGGACCCCCGAAACCGTGTTCATCTTCTGGGGGCCCCCGAACAAGATGCAGAAGCCCCAGGGCAGCCTTGTGCGCATCATCCAGAGGGCAGGCCTGGTGTTCCCCAACATGGAGGCCTACGCCGTCTCTCCCGGCCGCATGCGCCAATTTGATGACCTCTTCCGGGGTGAGACAGGCAAGGACAGGTACCAGCCTTTGCCTGCCCCCTCTGGCCAGCCCTCGGCTCTTCGTCAGCATGCTCTGTGCAGAGGGCCTGTCGCTCCCAGCAAGCGCTGCTCTGAGGGTGTGGTCACTTCTCGGCCGCCTCTGGTCAGGTTTCCTGGGGGAGCTCTCTTCGTGTTTAGCACGAGTCATTTCCAACATGCTGTGCGTGACCCCATCTTCCCAGGAGGGCTTTCCCCCAGCACCCACTGCTCTGAGGGAAGAAGGGTTCCCAGCATGCTCTTCTCTAAGATTGCACAGTCATTTCTAGCATCTTTCTAGGAGAGCTCCCCGGAGCGTGCCTCCTGGAAAGTGTTGGCTATTCCTGGCCCTTCTTGCTTTAGGCACACCGTTGCTCCCAGCATGCTCTATTCTAAATATACATCATTTCCAGTCCTGCTTTAGGTAAGCTAGGCTAGTGCCATCCAATAGAAATATAATGCAAGCCACATACATAATTAAAATTTTTATAGTAACCACATTAAAAAGGTAAAAAGAAACAGGTGAAACTATTTTTTTTTTTTTTTTTGAGCCTCATCAGGATATTTTTTCCATTGATCTTTAGAGAGAGAGTGGAAGGGAGGGAGAAAGGGAGAGAGAGGAAAAAATATCAATATGAGAGACACATTGAGTGGTTGCCTCCCGCACGCGCCCCGACTGGGTCAGGGATCGAACCCGCAACTGAGATATATACCCTTGACCATGAATCAAACCCGAGACCCTTCAGTCCATGGGCCAACACTCTAACCACTGAGCAAAACCAGCTTAGCTGTGGCTGAAATTATTTTCAATATATTTTATTTAACTCAATATGTCCAACATATAGATCCTGTACATATTTTGTTTGATTTATACCTAAATATTTAAAATTTTGGAACTAACGTAAATGATATTTTTTAAAATGTTGGTTCCCAATTATTCTTGCTAACATTTAGAAATATGATTTTTGTGTGGTGATCTTATATCCTGTAATCCTGCTAAACTTTACTTATTGGACAGTTTTACTCCTTCCTTTCTAATCTGTGTGCCTCATTTCTTTTTCTTGCCTTATTGCACTGGCTAGGAACTTTCAGTACAACGTTGAAATGTATTGGAAGTGACAAGAGTAGACATCTTGCTTCAGTCCCAGTCTCAGAGGGAAAGCGTTTAGTCTTTCATCATTGAATATGGGGCTGGCTATGGGTTTTTGAACCTATATTTACCTCTTCCAGGGTGAGACAGGCAAGAACAGGTGCCAGCCAAGTATTAGGTTGAGGAAATTCCCTTCACGTATTAGTTTCCTAAGAGGTTTTTTTTTGTTTGTTTGTTTGTTTTTTTATCAGTACTGGATATTGAATTTTATCAAACATTTTTCTGCATCAATTAAGACTTTTTTAAAAAAAGACTATTTGTATTTTTTTTAAGACTGTTAATATGGTGGATTATATTGATTGATTTTTAAATGTTGAGTTAGCCTTGGTTTCTGGAATAAACTCCAGCTGGTAGTGGTGTATTTTTACATATTGCTGGATAGGATTTGCTAATATTTTGTTGAGATTTTTGTATCTGCGTACATGAGAGATATTGGTCTGTGGTTTATTTTGTACTATTCTTTGCCTGATCTTGGTCTCAGGGTAATGCTGGCCTCGTAAATGCATTGGGAAATGTTTCCTCTTCTATTTTTCAGAAAAGATGGTGTAGAATTGGTGTCATTGCTTCTTTAAATGTTTGATAGAATTTGCCAGTGAGACTATCTGGGCTTGGAGTGGTGTTTTGTTTTGTTTTTCCCCAGAAGATTTTAAACTATGAATTCAGCTTCCTTAATAGTTATAGGATATTCAGGTTACTTATTTCATCTTCGGTGAGTTTTGGTTTGTTTTCAAGAAATCATCACAGTTCATCTAAGTCAGCGGTTCTCAACCTGTGGGTTGCGACCCTGAAAATCCATCCTGCATATCAGATATTTATATTACGATTCATAACAGTAGCAAAATTACAGTTATGAAGTAGCAACGAAAATAATTTTATGGTTGGGGGTCACCACAACATGAGGAACTGTATTAAAGGGTCGCGGCATTAGGAAGGTTGAGAACCACTGAAAGTTTTCACGTATGTAGTTGTTTTTTGTGGTTTTTTTATTTTAAAGTTTTCAGGGTCTATGATGATGTTCTCTTTCATTTTTGATATTGGTAATTTGTGTCTTTTCTCTCTTTTTTTTTTTTCAGTCTTGCGAGAGGTTTATTTTTTTTTCAAAGAACCACCTTCAACCAAGTAGATGCAAAATATTTTTTAGCTTCACATGTAATCAGTATAAAACATTATCAGCAACACATTCCACATTCTTTTTTCACACTAAGAAATCCAGTGTGTGTTTTACACTCACAGCACATCTCAACCCCGAGTCAAGTGCTCACACGTGCCCACATGTGGCCACTGTAGTTAGTGGACAGCATGGCTCTATGCCAGCTGTGGGCAAACTACGGCCCGCGGGCCGGATCCGGCTCGTTTGAAATGAATAAAACTAAAAAAAAAAAAGACCGTACCCTTTTATGTAATGATGTTTACTCTGAATTTATATTAGTTCACACAAACACTCCATCCATGCTTTTGTTCCGGCCCTCCGGTCCAGTTTAAGAACCCATTGTGGCCCTCGAGTCAAAAAGTTTGCCCACCCCTGCTCTATGCTCTTAGCTACTTCTTCATGCCTTGCTCTGAACTTGTCCCTCCAGCATGACTGTCTCTGCTTCGTCTCCCCATGGGAGTCTGCTCCTGGCATGGGCACAGCTGCGGCTCGCATGCTCTGTGGTCATGGTCACTCCTGGCCTACCCAGGCCTGACCAGTGTCCTCAGAAGTTTATTCCCAGCCTGCCTTGTTCCTACTCTTTCCCTCAAAGGAGCTCTCTCCACACCCTCACCTCTCCCCAGACAGCCCCCCTGCCAGCAAACCCGTGCTCCCCCAGTGGGCTGGATGGGGGTGACTGAAGTAGGGGGATGAGTTCTGTGAAACTGGGCGGTTGGCTGTTCCTCCCTGCCCGCCCCACCCCTGCCTGCCTGCCCTCATCACACCCCCTCTCTGCCTCCAGGGAAAAGTCCCACTCGTGGTTGAGCACGGGCTGGTTCACCATGGTGATCGCGGTGGAGTTGTGTGACCATGTGCACGTCTATGGCATGGTCCCCCCCGACTACTGCAGGTGAGCCCCTCCAGGACAGTGCCCAGCCACTGCCATGGGATGGAGCCGGGGGCCCGGAAACCTGGGCTGGGGGGCCTTTGAGATTCTCTGTTTGATGGTATTCAGGCTCCTCTGCAGAGATGTCTGCTCCTTAGAGCTGCCTCAGCGCCAACCCCCCCACACACACACACACCTCAGCCAGTCCAGAGTTTGTGTATCAATAATAACTATTATTATTATTATTACTATATGCAAAGCCCAAGAGGTGACAGCTGTTCTTGATTGATTGCTGACCATGCCCCAAGCATGACCATATTATTCACTCGTCACAGTGATGCTAAGGGATAGGTATGTTATTCTCCCTATTCATAGGTGAGGAAAACCGAGGAAAGTTGTTTGTGAGTGGTCTCAGGTCCCACAAATAGTAAAGGGTGGGGGTCAAGTTCCAGAGCCCTTACCTCTACCCTGCTTTGCCACCCTCTCAGGGACATGAAAAGATCCACAGCATTAAAAACAAAGTTTTGGAAGTCAAAAAACCTAGTCCACCCTATACCCATTTTACGGATGGGGAAACTGAGGCCCAGGGAAGGGCAGGTATTTCCCCACTAAGGTCCTATGGTAGGTCAGGGGCGGGAAAGGGCAAGGGCCCCGCCAGTGCCCACTCTGCCCTCACAGACACCTCTGCTCTGCCCCAGCCAGCGGTCCCGCCTGCAGCGCATGCCTTACCACTACTATGAGCCCAAGGGGCCAGACGAGTGTGTCACCTACGTGCAGAATGAGCACAGCCACAAGGGCAACCACCACCGCTTCATCACCGAGAAGAGGGTCTTCTCGTCCTGGGCCCAGCTGTACGGGATCACCTTCTCCCACCCCTCCTGGACCTAGGCCGCCCTGCCTGTGGGGCCCTCACAAGGGACACCGGAGAAGTGGCTCTTGGCCCAGCCACTCGACCAAGGGCCATCTCCTGGCCGATGAAGGCTGGCTGGAGTGTCTTCTGGCCAATCAGGGCCTTGAAGAGGGTGTATCCTGCAGCCGGTCAGGGCCTGGGAGATCTCTCGGCCATCAGGGATTTGGGCTTCTGTGTGCTTAATCAGGGGTGTCAGGAACTTGTCCAGTCAGGGTCCGAGCACAGTCAATCAGGGTATTTCTGAGTAATATGAGGCCAAGGACATGTCCTATCCCATGAGGCCTTGGTTCAGAGCCTCAGGATGGTCCCCAAATCATTTCCTATTGGCTGAGACAGTGGGGTCCTGTTCCAAGGACCTGGGAACTTTGTGTTGGCCCCTCACTTCCCAGAGCCAGAAAGAAAGGTTGCATGAGGAGTGGGAAGTGAATGGAGGTCAGGCTGGGGCAACTGGGGGCTGGAGGGTCCCGGAGGTGGGGGGCCGGAGTCAGTCTTGGCTCTGCCCTGAGTGGCCTTGGACAATCCCTTGTCCCCCTCTCTGGCATCCTTCTGCCCGTGTCAGGTTCTAACGTGGAGTCTTCAACCCCCTCCCACCTCTCCCACGACTGCCTTGGGTCCGTCCTCCATAACACTGGGCCCCGCCAGCCACCACCCCTTGCTGGGGGTCTCAGCCCCCTAGGGCCTGGGGTTCCCTTCCCCACCTCTTCCTGGAGATGAGGGTATTTTTGTGCAAACTCTCCCCGGTGAGGCTGTCTACCTGTTGGAGGAGGCTTTGGGGCTGAGACGGGGGGGACCCCAGCCCAACTGAGGTTTCAAGCAGCCCCTTTGCCTGCAGCTGCTGGAGTCATCTGAGTCTCCCTCCAGCTGGGCCTGGGAAAGCTCTCCGGGGGGGCGGGAGCTGTGTCGCCAGGGTCCTGTCCCCCCTCATTCTGTATCAGGCACTTTATTGCTGGGCCTCAGCGGGTGGGTTTGCCCCTTGCTCTTCTGAAGCCTGGAAGGGAAGACCAGAGGGCTTCCCGGAGGAGGTTGCGGAATGGGAGGGGCCAGGTAGAGGAGGAGGAGGCCGGCACAAGCCATTGCACATGGGGTGGGGAGTGGGGGCTGGTGACTCCCCCAGACTTGGTTTTGTAATGATTTGTACAGGAATAAATGCACTTGAGCTCCAGCTCCGGCTCCCGTGTGTCCCCGTTGAGCGAGGCTCTCTGGCCCTGGGCTCTGGGCCGCCGTGGGACAGGGCCCAGGGCCTCCAGGTGGGGAGCTCACCCACAAGCAGGACAGCCAGCTTTTTCAGCTGGCCAGTGAGTCATGCACTTTGCAGCTTGGGCGGAGAGCTGGCTGCTCAGGGGGTTGGGAAGGTGTGGGTTTCCCAAGCCAAGCCCATCTGGCTTTTCCAGTCCTGCCTCCCCCTGCTCTGCGACCTTGGGTAAGTCACTTGCCCTCTCCGAGCCCAGTCCCAGGACCACACACTGCTCCCAAGGAGCTCAGGCCCTAGGGAGGCCACCCCGGGAGTCAGGGCTCCAAAGACGAGGATGCAGACGCTGTGAGAGGGCTTGCGGGTGGGTGACATGCTTCTGAGGCCTGGGAGATGAGGAAGAGTCCTGCAGAGTTTGGGGCAAGAGTTTCTGGGGGTGAGGGTGGGGAGGAGAGGAGGCCGGACAGGGCTCAGGAGGAGGGGGCAGGCGGTGGGACAGAGGTTGGCTCAAGGGCCTGGGGATGCTGAGGGCTGGGAGCCCACATTTCCTGCAGGCCCAGCAGGCAGGAGCCAGGCAGGGCTGCAGCCCTGGGAGGGTGTGGTGAGCAGCAGTTGAGTGAAAGGCCTTGTTTACAACTCCAGGTTGGCAGGAGAAAGGGGGTCCGTGACTCTGGGAGATTACAACCTGTTTAGGCAGATAAGATACCCTTGGGAGCAGAGGCCTAACAAAGGGTGACTGTGAGACAAGGGCAGGCGGCCTGCTGGGGACGGGGAGAGAGCTCTCCCTGGGCACCGGGCCAGCCGGGATGGGGGGCCGGGGCGCGGGGAGGAGAGAAGGGCGCGCTGCATTCGTCTCTAATTCACGTACACATTCTAGTGAGCAGCCGCGTGCCAGGCGCTCTATCAGGTGCAATTGAAGAGGGAGGGAGGTCAGGTGGGAAGAATGGCCGGAAGGATGCGCAGTGGTGGGACCCACAGCCTTCCCGGGAGGCAGGGAGGCGGGAGCAGTGGGAGAGGAGCCACTTGGGGCCAGATGGCAAAAGGCCATGAGTGCCAGCCCGAGTGGGCCCGGCTCCATCCCTCTTGCTTGGAGAGGTCATTCTGGCTTGGACGGCAGCGGGACAGGCAGGAGCTGGGACGTCACGGGGCCCACGGCAGTGGTGGCGGTGGGCGTGTGGGAAGTCATTGCGTGGGGAGCCTCACGCCTGCGTGGGGATGGAGATACGGAACACGGCGCACTGGCTCTGTGCAGAGGCTTCTGGGGATCTGCCTGCCCTCCGGTGGGCATGGAGGGAGGCCCAGCAGTGCTTCAAGAGAAGGTGGGTTGCTTGGGGTGGACCCTCCGAAAGTTCGGTTTAGCATCAGGAGGTAGGACTTTGGTGAGGGCAAGAGGTCTGGGGCCTAGTCCTCAACTCCACAAACTCACCCCCTCGGAGCGCCCGCCCCGCCCTCCCCGTCCCCCCCAGACAAGTATACTCATTGTCAGAGTTATCCTCCTGAGCCCACCTCCTCACCGTCCTGTTTTGCTCTGAATCCTTCACCTGCTCCCGCTGTGGCCAAGACAAAGCCACTTCCACTTCCTCAGCTAAGGCCCAGAGCCCGCGGCACTCCTGTGTCTCCCCCTCACCCCTGTGGTCCCCTCCGCTCCTTGGCACGTCTCCCACCAGCTGCAAACCCAGCAGGTGCTTCCCGAGGGGCCACTCCCGCTGCTTCCTGCAGATGCTCAGCAGCCCAGCCAGGCCCCCTGCGCGGCCCCTCACCTCCCTGTGACACTCAGAGTGAGGCTGACCCAGCTCTGTCCCCCGGTGCTGGCTCATTTTCTAGGCTGGGAGTTCTCTTTAACCAGAATATTTTTAAAGTGTTTTTAAAAATTGGTTTCATTTTATATGGTTATATTTTTAGGGTTTTTTTTTTAAATGTTATAACTTCAGCCATACAAATGATATGAGATGAAAAGGGAGGGCATCGCCCAGTCCTGTTCCCTGTTAACAGCCTAGGGCAGTGGTTCTCAACCTTCCTGATGCCGCGACCCTTTAATACAGGTCCTCATGTTGTGCTGACCCCCAACCATAACATTATTTTCATTGCTACTTCATAACTGTAATGTTGCAGCTGTTATGAATCGTAATGTAAATATCTGATATGCAGGATGTATTTAGGCGACTCCTGTGAAAGGGTCGTTCGTCCGCCAAAGGGGTCGCGACCCACAGGTTGAGAACCGCTGGCCTAGGGCATACCCTCCCAGGTGTTTCCTCCGTGCGATTTTTTTCTTTCTCTCCCTCCCCCCTCCCCTCCCTCCCCTCCTTCCGTTTTCCCTTCCATCTTCTCCTTTCTTCATTCCCTCTTTCATCCCTCCCTGCCTCTCTTCTTCTCTCCCACCTTTTTTTCTTTTTTAGTTCAGAGCGGAGAAAAAAATCCCGAAGCTTTAATATTCCAGGATTGATAGAAAATCCATAGGTCATATGCAAAAGAAATAATTAAAACAGGTACTTAAAATAGGTTTTTACAATTTTTAAATTTATTTTTTTATTGTGGCAAAAAGCACATAAGATTTAGCCGTTAAGCGTTTTTAAGAGTGCAGTCCAGCGGGGTTAAGTGTGCATGCATTGTTAGGAAACAGCTCCGGGCCTTCTTCATCCTGCAGATCTGAAGCTCTGTCCATTGAACGCCAACTCCCACTTCCCCTGCCCCTCCGCCGCAGGGGACCATCCTTCCACTTTCTGTTTCTATGAATCTGATGACGTTAGTGCCTCCTGTAAGTGGAGTCATACAGTATCTGTCTTGTTGTGACTGGCTTATTTCGCTTAGCATAATGTCCTCAAGGTGCAGCTGTGTTTAAAGTGTGTTATATAGAAAATAACAGATGCTCGTCGTATTAAAAAAAAAAAAAAAGGCATGGGGAAGCCTTTAAGAAAGAAGCACAAGTCCCACCTCCCCCTGGGGGGTCATGTGCACCGCCCTCCCGGGTGGGCCTCGCTGCACACCCTTGGAGCTGCCATCGATGTGATGGTAAGAGAGCACGTGCCAGAGATGTTAAAGTGCGAAGAAGGAATTTCGAGGAATAGTTCTTACACACATGACCCTGCATGTTTAGATTGTTGACCGATTTCATCAGTTTGCTTTCCCCGAAGGTGGTGCCATTGTGCACGGCCGCCTACGGCTTTGGGAGGGTCTCTGAACAACTTGGAAGGCAGACCCTCCGACCCAGCACCTGCCCCTCCCGCAGCTGGGGAAGCTCAGGTCCCAAGGAGTGAGGAGCTTGTCTGATGTCACCGGTGGCAGAGCTGGACTAGCTCCCAGCCTCCTGGGGTCTAGGCGGCAGTTGTTGCTAAGAAACTACCCATCTAAAACGGTCTCTCTCTCTCTCTGGGTAGTTTCACCCTCTTGCTGCAACACCTTTCATGGCTCCCTAGTGCCTACAAGACAAATTCTAAATTTAACCCACCCCGATCTGGGGCTGCTGCTTCCAAGGTTGTGTGGTCCTAGCGGTCGAGTCCCTGAGTTCCGAAGCTGCGTGGTCCTGGGCTCTGCTAGCTTAGTGAGCACCTACTCTCCGTGTCAGTCCCCACGGACACGCATCACCCTCCACCTGGGAAGCTCCGCAAGCTCACCTGCAGCGGGAACGCACTGTCCTCCATGTTTAAGGATTCGCAGACGTGGCCCGCGGCCGTGCTCTCCCTGCCCAGCACCTGGCCCACAGTGAGTGCTCATTATGGGGCGCTGTTCTTATTCTAGGACCATCGACCCCGGTCCCCCATCGCGGGCAGCATTCTGAATGGCCACATCCTCGGGCTCGCCTCGTTGGGAGTTGCCTGGCAGGGCTGGGGTTTTTATTTTTATTTATTTATTTGTTTATTTATTTTAACATATCTTTATCGATTTCAGAGAGGAAGAGATAGAAACATCAATGATGAGAGAGAATCATTGATTGGCTGCTTCCTGCACGCCCCCTACTGGGGATCAAGCCCACAACCCAGGCATGTGCCCTTGACCGGAATCGAACCCAGGACCCTTCAGTCCGCAGGCTGACGCTCTATCCACTGAGCCAAACCGGCTAGGGCAGGGCTAGGGTTTTTAATAATCTACACAACCACCAGCTGGGAGAGGGTTTTGTGGATGGTCTTTGGGGTCCTGGGGAGTTTGCCTCCCCGAGGAGTTCCTGGAACCCCTTCCATTCCGGGTGGGCCTTGGCCCAGGGGCCTCGGGGCAGGTCTGAGAAGGGGCTGGGGACTGGCGTGGCCAGCGGAACCCCAGAATCCATGCCTCAGTCCTCCCTCCCTGATCTGGCCTCTCCCTGCTACCAATTTGCTGTGGGATTTTGTGCAAAGAGCCACTCCTCCCTGGGCCTCAGTTTCCCCCGCTGTCACCTGGGAAGCCCAGTCCCACCCCCCGCAGTGATGTGGGCACAGTGGGGTGACACGGGAACGGGAACCCTCGGGAGCAGTCAGTGCGGTGGAGGGCGCCAGTCCCGCTCGGATCTCCCGTCAGGGCTCCGCTCTGGTCCAGCCCCGTCCCTGCCCGGCTGCGCTCCCCCCCCCCCCTCCCTCCTGCGATCGCGGAGCTGGCTCCCGGCATGCCGCGCGCCGCTGACAGCCTTATAAATAGTCGCCTCTGCGGGCGGGTGGCTGCGAGGACGGGCAGGGCACGCACTGGCCCCGGCGCCCACCCGCACCCCACCCCCAGGTAGGTGTGTGCCCATGTGTCCGTCTGCGCGCGTGGGGGGACGCGCCTGTGCGGGGGGCGGGGAAGCGCAGGCACCTGGGGAATGCGCCTCGGTGCGCCAGGGTCTCCTCGGCGTTCGCGGGGCTGTGTGTGTCCCTGGCTGTGCCCTGTGCGTGTCCCTGGCTGTGCCCTGTGAGTGTCTGCCTGTCTGCACCCCCAGAGGCTGCTCGGGGGTGTGCGCCGCACTCTGTGCTTCTTTGTGGATGTGTGTGCGTTGCAGCCCTTCCCAGCCTCGCAGACAGTCACCCCTTTGTCCCAGCCCATACCCCTGGGGCTCCAGGTTCCTGTCCTTGGCATGTCCCAGCTGGGGCCCTGGAAGGGGGCTGTGACCTGACTCCCCGCCCCAAGGACCTGGGTGGGGCAGCCTTTGTGATTGGTGGACTGTCCTGTCAAGTCACTGAGGGATGGGCACAGGAGGCCCTGGGTGCTGGCCCCTGCCCCAGCCTCTGAAAGGGCAGGGGCCCTGTGGGATCCCTGTGGCAGCACAGGGGCCTGTCCTGCTCAGCCACCCACTCAGGACTCCGCAGCAGCAGGGGACGGGGCCTGGGGTGCAGGCCCAGAGAGGGGACACCGCTGCCCAAGGTCACACAGCTGAGTGATGGGGTTGGGATTTGAACCCCAGTTGGTTGCCAGCCACCAAAATGGCTGCTCTTGGTCAAGAGTCGGGAGACCTTGGTCTTGCCCTGGACTCGCCTCGTAACTGAGGTTAAGTCTCTGTCCCTTTGGCCTCCGCTCTCCAGACCCCTCGGCCGACCACCCGGTTACATACCGAGTCACTGCGGCCCTGATCCAGGGGCCCAGTAAGACCTGGGTGCTGAGCCCGTAACCTAACCCTATCCTGACCCCTGACCTCTGCGAGGCCTCCTCACGACCCAAGTTATTTTGGACCAAGGAGGTGGCAGGTTCCAGCAGGACAGTGGGGCTTAGGTTACTGGGAGGGGGTGGGGCAGGATGGGGTCACTGCAGGCTGTTCTTGGCCTAGGGGACTCCCCCCCCCCCACCAGCTACCGAGCAGTGCTGGCAGCTACTGCTCTTCCTTCAGCACACTCAGCAGGGAAGAGGCTAGCTCATGCCCCCGCAGGCAGCTGCTTAAGGACCTACTGGGTGCTAGGCCCAGAGCAGCAGGAAATGCAGCCCTGGGTTGGAACCTAGCCAGGCCCTGGAGCAAGTCTATCCTCTTCAAGCCTCAGTTCCCTCCCAGGAGGGCCCTGGGGATGGAGTAAGGCCCCCGGCCCTCTGACCAGCCCAGTCTGGTGGGGAACACAGGCCTGCACTACAACAGAGCGGTCCAGTAGAGTGTGGTGTGCGATGTGTGGCGGTATGATGCCAGGGGAAGTTCAGAGGAGGTACCTGTCAGTGTAGGAGTGGAGGGTAGAGTCCAGGAAGGCTTCCTGAAGGAGGTGACACCTGAAGTGAGTCCTAAACATGAACACCTTAGGGAAGGGCATTCCGGCATTGGGTGCAACATGAGCTGGGCCTGCAGGTGGGACACGGCCACGGTGGGAGAGGGAGCTCGGTTTAAGCAGCAGCTGATAAAGTTGCAGGGAGGGGGGAGGGGGAGAGGCTTTATCTTGGGAGCTGAGTGGCCACACATGGAAGGGTTTTAAGCCGGAGAGTGATGTGGTCTTCAGCTTGTGGGGGAAATCCTACAGATGGGCTGGTGGGTATGGAGGTTGGGTTCGCCCCTGCTTGGAACAAAGAAGTGGCCGTGAGGACACAGATCAGAGGTTCGGGAGCAAGAGGCTGGGACGTGCTTATGCAGGATGGGGAGGGTGTGAGAGAAGGGCTTCTAGCTGGACACAGCCGGGCTGTCAGTCAGCAGGTCTCCGAAGCTGGCAAGAGCGCCCTGGGCTGGCTGGGCAGGATGGAAGGTCCCAGGAAGCCCATAGTGAGAGGGTGGAGTAGGGGTCGGAGGTGAGGTCCCAGGCAGGAGGAATGGTGGCCAAGGGTCAAGAGTCAAAGGTCAAGGCAAGAGTGGCTGTGATGGTTGCAGGTGGCCTTGGGGAGGGCTGGAGGGTGAAGGCCACAGGTGTATAGGCAGCAATTCTGAAGAGACGGACGGGAAGGGGAGGGTGAGGGAGGTCCCTGGGGGCTGTGGAAGTCGTGGGGTCCCAGGAGGGGTTGGGGTTGATTCCATGCTGGGGGGAGAAGTGGGCAATGGAGCAAGGTCCTCCAGGGGGCGAGGGGCAGGGGCCACATGGGGGGGAGTTGGTCCTGTGTGTGGGGGAGCCTGGGAACCCCTCATTGGAAAATTGCAGGGCTATTCCTATGTGAACGCAGCTTCCTCCCTCCAGACTTCCCTGTCCCTCTGAGCATCCTCTTCCAAACCCCTTCAGAGATGAGGACACACAGCTCCTATCCCTCCTCCCCCTCCTGGCAGCTCTCCCCGCCCTCCGCCCTGGGGAGCGTTGTCAAGGTACCTGGAGAGGACCCCGCCCTGTTTTCTGGACTTGGGAGAGCAGTTCCGCAGTGGCTGGTGGGGCGGGAGGGGGCTGCTGCCCTTGACAGGTGAGGCAATGGAAGCACAAGGAAGAAAGATGACTTTCCCAAGGTCACCCAGCCTCCTGGGCCTTCCGGCCCCCACCGGCCCTCTCCGAGGGCAAGCCAGGGCTGGCGCACCTGCGGCTGCGGCTGTGGCCGGACGGGCGCTCGCTCACCAGCCCCACCCCCACCTTATCTTGCAGAGCTGACTCCACTCCCGGGACCTCGGCAGGATGGAAGGTACGGAGGCTCCTGTCCCCTGCTGTCTGCCTGCGCCTCAGTCTGCCCACCTGCTAAGGGGGTGCACTTTGGGGAGACACTCTGGGAGGGTTGGAGGCGGCTCTGGGGCTGCCAGACCGGGCTTGCCTGGGAGCTCCCACACCCGCCTCGGGCCTCTCATGGGATGTGCCAGCTTCAAGATTAATTTTAGAAGCAACGGGGCCTCCTGGGCTTGGGAGGACCCCACAGCTCACCTCCTGCACTGGTGTTTTTAGAGCTGAATCCCTGCCTCTTTCTGGAGAGGGCGGGCACTGGTGAGGGGAGGCCTGCCTGTGGAGAGGCCCCAAGGGTGCAACTGCCCCTCTCAGGGACGGAGTTTCCCCATTGTCCAGGGGGTGGCTCTTGGGCCCTCCAGGCTCCTATGGGCCCGCCTAGAAGGAGTCATGGGCTGAGAGCCCAGCTGGCCTGTCTCCTGGCAGCACCACCCGTCCCATCCCTGGCACTGAGCCTGGGCCTGGGCAGTTCTTAAAGAAGCCCAGCCGGCCTGGCTGCGGCTGCCTGAAACCAGTGGTCACCCGTCCACCCCTAGGGCTCTGAACGTCAGCTGCCACTGGGCTGTGCCCTCCCCCACACACACCCAGGCTTGTGCCCATCACACGGCGGGCGGGCAGGTGGCAGGAAGCCACGAGAGAAGTTCTGACAGCTCCTAGCTCCTGGCCCAGGGCTGGGAAGCCCTGGGAGCTTTGAGCTCACCTCCCCATTGGACTGGGGGGGGGGGGGGGGCGGGCAGAAAGGGGAGGGACCTCTCTCCCGGCCTCTCAGCCAGTCCTGCTCCGGGGAAGGGAAGACAGCAGCCTGGGAAGGGGCGGCTTCCAGTCGGGTTTTGGCAGCCCTAGAGCGGGCCCTGCCTCTTCAGGCCTCAGTTTCCCTCTGTGGGTGGGGCTGTGGGGCGGCTGAGTCCTCAGGGTGGTAAGGCAGAGGTTGAAATGGAAGCCGGCCTCCCCCTTTGGGCAAGGGTTCCATATGCCCACCACAGCCCTCTTCCCCGGCAACTGTCTCCAGGGCAACATATGTTGTGGTTGCCAACTCCGCACTCATACCGCCCAGGGAAGGCGGGCGATGGGCAGGCCAGGGCCTGGGAGGGGAAGGGCAGGGGACACAGCAGAACGGATCCATGGGTGGCTGCTGCTCCTCGGGAAACCTCCGCAGCGAGGAAGACTCTAAGGCTAGAGGTGACCCGCAGCTGCCGCTCAGCCTCCCACAGGGACGGGGGTGACTCGAGCCCCCCAGGGTCACTCTTACAGCCTCTGCCTGGACCGCCCTCTCTCCCCCGACCTGTCCCAGTCTCTGAGTTTCCCTCGCCATCAGCACCCACTCTGGGCTGTGACAGGAGGGTGAGCTGCCGATCCCGCTGCCTCAGGCCCAGCTCGGGCCTGGGATCAGAGGTGCTCCCCACTACATGTCGTGCGAGTGACTGAGCTCTGCCCCCCTTTCTCCCCCACAGAGAAGCTGAAGAAAACCAAGATCATCTTCGTGGTGGGTGAGTCCAGGGCAGGCGGGCGAGGCGCTAGCAGGGGGGTCTGTGCAGGCACTGGCGGGAGCCGGGGCCGGGGACTGCGCCCTGGGCTCTGCCCCTCCGATGGGTGACCTGGGCCGACCCTGTCCCCGCGGAGGACCCGTTTCTCAGGGCTCTGAACGGGTGGGCGCTTGCAGGTGGGCCCGGCTCGGGGAAGGGCACCCAGTGTGAGAAGATTGTCCAGAAGTACGGCTACACCCACCTGTCCACCGGGGACCTCCTTCGGGCCGAGGTCAGCTCGGGCTCGGCCAGGGGCAAGATGCTGTCGGAAATCATGGAGAAGGGGCAGCTGGTGCCGCTGGTGAGTGGGCCCCAGCGGGGGGTGGGGGGTGGGGGAACGGGGGTGATGGTGGCCCCGAGTGGCCGGCAGCCGGCAAAGCTCATGACATGCTGGCAAGGCTGGCCATGACCTTCCCTGGCTCTGAACCCTTTTGTGGGTGCCCATTGCCCTGGCACAGAATTTCTTCCAGAAGCTCCCAGGAGCCTCCAGGACTCTGACTGCCTGACCCCTCCACCCTCCCACCAGCCCGGCCTTTCTGTCCCCTCAAACTCATCGTACGCCTTCCTGCCTGGAATGGTTTTCCTCCTCAGCTTTCAGACCTTCTGGTTCACCCGATTTGGGCTCAGACCCCCTAACTTGACACTCCAGTAGCCCCTTTCTCTGCCCACAAGCTGAGTCATGCCTGGAAGTTGATAATGGAGTTTCCTGAGGGCAGGGGAGGCCTGCTGTGTTCACCGCCGTGTCCTCTGGGCCCAGCTGAACGCAGGACCTGAGCCATCCACCGCCTCCCCATGGTTTAGGGAGGCCTGAGGGGGCTGGTTTGGGAGCTGTCCGCACAGGGGGCGTTTCAGCTGTGGGGCAGCGCACCCCTGAGGAGGGTGGGGAAGCGGGGCTCACGGCCCCTCCTCCTTCTGCTGTGCCCACAGGAGACAGTATTGGACATGCTCCGAGACGCCATGATGGCCAAGGTGGACACTTCCAAAGGCTTCCTGATCGATGGCTACCCTCGGGAGGTGCAGCAGGGCGAAGAGTTTGAGCAGCGGGTAAGGCACAACCTGGTGGATGGTCTTCAGGATCCGTGACAGGGGCAGCCAGGCAGAGGCTGCTATGATGGGGGGGGGGGGGGGAGAGAGAGAGAGAGAGAGAGACATTGATTGATTGTGGGTGATAGGAGCTGGGGAAGGAGGGAACCAGGGAAGCGCTTTCTGGGATTCTGTCTAGAATCCAGAAGAAAAAGTCTAGAAGGATGGGAAGCACCAGGCTAAGGCGGCCAGGCTCCGGTCCCAGCTCAGCTGCTCGAGGCCTTGGGCTGTCATTCTGCCTCTCTGGACCTCAGTGTTCCCATCTGCAAAATGGGGATAGACGGGGCCCAGCTTCCTTGTGGGGCAGCATGAGGATTAGAGAGAATGTACTCTTCAGTGTAAGCACATGGTGGGAGGGGCAGGGAATAGCATGGACAGGGCTGGAAGGGCCAGGCTCGTGTAGAGAGAACAGAGCTGTTGGGAGAGGGCAGCTGGGGATGATGTGGGAGAGGGAGGCTCAGGCCTGGCTGGAGGCTTCGGATGCCCCGGGGGAAGAGTCCAGTCTCCTTCCCGGGGCCACCGGGAGTCTGGCTGGAGAGAGTGGGCCCTGAGGACGATGCCTTTGAGCTGCCTGGAATGAGTGCCCACCAGGAAAACTTTCCACAGGGCAAGGGCATCTTGCCCAAACACACACATGTACAGGCATGTGCAGGCACACACAGGCACACGAACACATAGGCACACATGTGTGCAGAAGCCACAGGCAAATGCACCCATGCACACAGGCCTGTGTACATGTGCACACATCTGGCAGTGTACACACATGCACCTCAGGCAATGCATATACACAGACTCAGTGCACCTATACACAGAGGTGCACACACATGCACACACATGGGCACACACATATACACACATACACCCATATCTCTCGGTGTTATACGCCATATGAGGGAAGCAGAGGCGCTGTAAGTGCCAAGGAGGGAGAGGTCATTAGGGGACTTGGGGGGCCTTCTTGGCAGAGGACTCCTTCCAGGCCTTGCAAGGAGGACTAGGCATCCCAGTGGGCTGGGGGCGGGACCAGACCCTCATCCCCACTCCCCAACTCTGTGAGACAGGGGCCATCTTTAGGCTTCCATAGCTTGAGCCACATCCAGACTTAGGATATTGTATTTCCTGCCCTCTAACTGGCTGCAAGACCTCAGGGAAGTGTCTACCCTGATCTGGGCCTCAGTTTCCCTATCTGTGAAATGGGGGTTGGCTGGGCTTCCTTCATGGACCTAGGCACCAGCTGTGTGACGTCACCTCTGGCCCTCAAAGCCCCGTCTGGAAGATGGGGTTAGTGAAAGTTCTCATCCCTCCTGGGGCTGTTGTGGGTGCTGGCGTGGGCGCCTGGCCCTGCCCAGCACCTGGTGTTTTTGACTCTGGGCACCAGGGGGCGCCAGGTCCTCACCAAAGGAAGATGGTGAACCTTATTTCTTCTTGCCCTTCCCAGTCTTCCTGACGAAACACTCATCCCAGTGACAGTGACATTGTTCAGAACCTCCCAGAGCTCAGTGGCCCCTCACCCCTTCCCTTAGCCCTGGCTCCTCTGTCAAGTCCTAATCCAGGCCTGCTGGGGTAAGACAGCCCATTGCGCTGGCCTCGGGCCAGGCTGGGAGAGGGATGTTGAGTAAGTAACCAGAGGCCCTCCCAGAGGTGCTGAGGGCAGAAGTAAAGGGCCTGGAAGAGCCTGTCCCAGGGGGCGGGGGTGGCGGGGTGGCATCTGGGGAGGCTGCGCCCGAGGAATGAGATTTTAGGTGAAATCTGAAGGTGAGCACTTGGCATGGAGGGAAGAGGTTCCTGGGAGGCTCCTGGCAAGAGCAAAGGCCTGGCACACGAGGAGGGTGATGAGAGCCGGCCTAGACTCCCGTCAGTGGCTGAAGCAGGAGAGCAAAGGGGTGAGAGCACGCGATGAGGAGGGGGCGCAGGGCCCAACGGCGCAGGCCCGCGAGGCCAGGGAAGGACTTCGCATTTTCTCCCCAGGGCACTGGGGAGCCACGGACGAGGTTTGGGCAGGGGGACGGCAGGGCAGATTGGTCTGGGGAGGGTCTGTCAGGCCGTCCTGAATGTCCGAGTGGATCTCAAGTGGGGCCCCCCCGAAGTGGGAAGATGGGGAGGAGGAAAAGGGCCCCTGTGACTGGTGCCCCGCCCACAGATCGGACAGCCCACCCTGCTGCTGTATGTGGACGCAGGCCCCGAGACCATGACCCAGCGGCTCCTGAAGCGCGGAGAGACCAGCGGGCGGGTGGACGACAACGAGGAGACCATCAAGAAGCGGTTGGATACCTACTACAAGGCCACGGAACCCGTCATCGCCTTCTATGAGAAACGTGGCATCGTGCGCAAGGTGCGCCCCCTGCAGGCCGGGCCGAGGGAGCCCTGGGAAACCTGGGTGGTTTTCCTGGCCGGGCCTCAAATTGCTGGGGCCTCGGGCCGGCCTCCCTCCCTGGGCCTTGGCTTCCCCCTGGTTTGATGAGGGGCTGCTGCCCACGGCGGCTGGACTCCCGACCCAGGCCGGGCCTGCCACGGTGGGGCCCGCCCAGCCCAGCCCAGCCCACGGCGCCTCCGCTCACCACCAGTCTCCCTGCAGGTCAATGCCGAAGGCTCCGTGGACAGCGTCTTCTCCCAGGTCTGCACCCACCTGGATGCCCTCAAGTAGCAACACCGCCCGGAGCCCCTTCCCCAGCTCAGAGCCCAGCCCCACCCCTGTCCTGACTCAGGAGTCCTGGCCTGAGCTCAGCGCCTCCACCCCGCCCGCCCGGCGGCGGGAGCACAGACAGAGGAAGCCACTTTATCCTGTTTTCACGGACAGCTGAGCACTAAAGGAATTTCCGAGGACATTCGGTTTTACTCCTTTTTCTTCGCTTCCACTGGGGTTGATTTATGTGGGATGGCCGCCCGGCCTTGAGTCCCCAGCCCCTCTTCCTCCCCAGCCCCTCGGTCCCCCTCAGCCCGCCGGACCGCCCCCCTCCCCCCACAGCTCTGGTGGAAGGCCCAGGACTCTTCTTACGTAGGGCGTGCGGGGCCGGGCTGTGCCAGGCCTGGGGGTCCAGGGTGACCGAGGCAGGGTCCTTGCTCTCCGGGACGCGTGGTCAGGCAGAGCTGGGCCCGGGCCTGGGCCCCTCTGCATCCTGGCTATGTGGCCGTGGCCCTGACCCCTCATCTCTCGGAGCCTGTGTTCTGTGCCTAACTGCTGCTGGGGACTGAGCTGTTCATGCAGCCAGGACACGGGCTGAGGGAGCCTTCCTGGGCAGCGGGAGGGGGGGTGGTGCTCCCTGGTAGTGGTGGGGACCCAGAGTAGCCGGCCAAGTGGGCAGTGAGTTGGCCTCCTTGATGTGAGAAGCCCTGAGGCCTGCGGGCTGGACCTGGGGGTCACGGTCACTGGCGCCTCCCTGAGGAGGTGAGATCTGAAGGGCTCCCACCACGTGGCCCAGGGCAGGTCACAGCCTGTCCTTTCTCAGCTGCTTCAGAATTCAAATTGGGCTCATTGTCCCCCCAACCCCGCCCCCCCCCCCCAGGTTAGGAAGAGAACACACTGAGCCAAGGGTGTAGCCTTAGTGACCAGGCCTGTGGGAGCCGGAGACCAGGGCAGCCTCGGGGACATGCCAGGCCCCGGTGCTGGGGGGGGCCTAGGCTCCCCCGTGGAGAAGCATCCTCCCCTTTCTGTTCTCATTCTGGCCTCGTCGTGGAGAACGGCTCCACTTGGTGCTCAGGGTCCTTACCGCCTGGCCCAGCCTGGAGGCTCCTGAACGCCGAGAGCCTGCGGCGGGCACACCTGGAGGAATGAACCCGTGCGGCCGGGCTGCCTGTGCCAGCAAGTGTGGCTGGTTTCCCGTTTACATTAGGTATTCAAAGTTTCCTCGAAAATAAACGTATTTAAGTTCTAAAAGGTGGGTCTATTGAAAGAAGAACACGGAATAAGTCAGTGGTAATACAGGGGAGAGAGAAGGCAGGCGGCCTGCGGGGTGAGCCGTCCTGTCTGGGCGGGGTGCGGGTGAGGCCTCCGCAGCTGCTCTCTGTTCCGCGTGCCGGCCCGGGTGTGCGGGAAGCCCCAACTCGGTAACCTCCCACCTGGGGGGTCCATGTCACATCTGTCAAACTGGCCCCCGTGCACACACACACACACACACACACACACACACACACACGCTCCCACTCACATGCACGCGCCCCTTCATCCCGGGGCCGCCTGAGGATCCACGTGCGGGTGAGTGGAAAACAAGCCAGAGACGATAAGGGGCTAGGGAAATCCACCCTCAAAATCACCATCTTTATGACAGCTTCCTGAACTCAGGTGTGTCCCAATGGATGAAAACCTACGCTGACCCAAATTGTTCACCACAGAATCACTTCGTTCACTTAAAAAAAAGCCTGGAAAACTTAAAACAAAAACTTTGAAAGTTCCAGTAACCGTTACCCAGTCATTGCCATTAATCGTCTTTGGAGGGTTTCCTTCATGGAAGTTCCTTCGGCAGCGATCCGGCACCTGCCCTGGCGGGACACTGCTGTGACTCCCGGCACCGGGAGGGGACCGTGCTCGCACACGCCGTCAGACATCCGCACCTGCGACCAGTTCTGGGCAGCTCAGAGCTCAGAGGGGCCCCTGGTGCAGAAGGCTCCTTGACCTGGAGCTCTGGAGTGGGGCCCTAACAGTACCTAGGAGTTCACTTCACCACGTGACAGAGGGCATGGAAGGGCAGAGGGAACAGCGCTGCAGAGCTGCAGGGGTGGAGAGGACCCACTGAGTGAAGGGAGGCTGAGGCATTAGTGGGGGCTGGAAGGCAGGCTAGAGGGGGTGTCTTAGCTGGAGACAAGCTTGGCAGGTGATAGAAGCCACGCTTGCAGGGCCTTGAATGCCAACCCAGGTATCTAGTCTTTCCCCAAAGGGCAATGGGAGGCTCAGAAAGTTTTGTTTTTTGTGGTTTTTAAAAAAATATATTTTATTGATTTTTTACAGAGAGGAAGGGAGAGGGATAGAGAGTCAGAAACATCGATGAGAGAGAAACATCGATCAGCTGCCTCCTGCATACCCCCTACTGGGGATGTGCCCACAACCAAGGTATGTGCCCTTGACCAGAATCGAACCTTGGGACCCTTAAGTCCCCAGGCTGACGCTCTGTCCACTGAGCCAAACCGGTTAGGGCAGAAAGTTTTGTTTGTAATAAAAATTTTCAAACAAAATTTGAGGAAATAATATAATGAACACCCATATACCATCACCCACATTTTTCCATACTTCCTTCACGGCTGGTTTATTGTTGTCAGACTATTTTAAAGTAAGTTACAGATATGAAAAAAGTTCGTTCCGAAAGTGGGACTTCGGTATGACTAATAAGTGAGGACATTTTGCTGTTTAACCACAACTCAGTTTCGATGACACTCGGTTAACACTAGTATCATAGGTACTTCTCAGTCCACATGTCGTTTCCCCCAAAGTGTGTCTTTGCGAAAACCGGGAGGCAATCCGGGACCACACGTGGCCTCTGTGCCGCCCGTCGAACGTTAACCTCTGACTCACCCCCTCTCTTTGAGATTGACCTGTGACGGACCGTGGTCCCCCAGAAAATTCCTCCTCCCTGTGCCTGTGGCTCCCTTGTGGTGTCCCTGGACTTGTTCCTCCGTTCCCCGTTTCCTGTACCCTGAAGTTAGTGTACGGGCGTCAGACGTTCAGGATAAGCCTTTGGGACAAGAATACCGAATAGCTGAGGCTCACGAAGGGCTTTAAAACCAGGCGGGACGGTCAGAGGGGCCGCATCTGGCTCTACGTGCACACGAATCCCCGCAGGGTCTCGCTCAAAAGCTGCCTCTGATGCAGCGGGTCGGTTTGGGTGGTGAGGCCTGGCTGGGCCGCTGGGCCGAGGCCCACACTGGGCAGCTCAGAGAGGCGGGAGCCGGGGAAGGGGAGGAAGGGTGGGGAGGAGGGGGCGCCTCTAAGGTCAGCGTGTGCTCATCCCCTACTGGTGGGCTGAGAGGTGGGCGTGGTGTCGGATCCGGACGGGCGGTGCTGTCATAGTCTTCATGTCTCCAGCGGCACTCCAGGAAATGGCTGTCCCAAGGTGCCGGAACCTTCTAGCCAGCAGAGGGACGGCCGCGCGCCTCTGTGACCTCAGGGTCTCAGAGAGAGAGCGTGCTCCTCGGGAGGCCCTCCGGGGTGGTGGCCTCAGATGCCCCCACTGGACTCAGCCCCTAAGCCTCCGCCCCCGGGGGCCCTGAGGGCCTGGCCGGAGGCGCTGAAGTGGGAGAGGAAGGAAGCGGGGAGCAGAAGAGGCCAAGGCTGTCGCCTCCCAGCCTCCAGAGGGGCCTCGAGTAAACAGGAAGGCCTGGCGGCTCCACGGTGGGGGGGCTTCGGAGGGTGGGGCCAGAGCCCTCCTGGACCTGCACAGCCTGCAGCCTAGAGCACAGGGCCTCCTTCTGTGGCAGCAGACGCAGAGAGGTGGTGTGGCTCCCCCACCCCCACCCCGTCACACAGCGAGCGGGGGAACCGGGTCAGAGCCCCGCCTGCCTCTCCTGCGTCTGCCCCCCTCCTGGGTTCTGGTGCGGGGTCTCCTGCCTCCGAGGTGGCCTTCAGGGTCCCTCGACCTTGGGAGTGGGTTCACCAGGCAGGCCCACTTCCCCAGGAGGCAGCAGCTGCCGGGCCACCCCCTGGGGAAAGAGAGGGAGACTGTGCGGGGCTTTGCTCCTCTAGAACGGAGTCTGGAGGGACCACTGACCCCTGTGAGCTCCCTATCCCCATGGGGAGTCATTCCCCCTCTTCAGAGACCCTGTCCCTGGGCTCAGGGGCCCCCAACACCCACACCTGGGGACTCAGAACCACAGCCTATGTCACCTCAAGCTGTGCAGCCCAATGGTTAAGGCGTTCATTTATCGCATAAACATATGGAATGCCTACCAGGGGCCAGGCACTATTCCAAGCAATGGGCCTTTGGAACTTCTCTGAGAGAGAGAGGGAGAGAAAGAGAGAGAGAAAAAATAAACAATATATAGTATGTGAGAGGGTGATCTGGGCCATTTGTGGAGGAGGGAGAGGGCTATTTAAAATTCTGTGTTCATGCCCTAATGGTCGGCAAACTGCGGCTCGCAAGCCACGTGCGGCTCTTTGGCCCCTTCAGTGTGACTCTTCCTAAGCCTTAGGAGCACCCTAATTAAGTTAATAACAATGTATCTACCTATATAGTTTAAGTTTAAAAAATTTGGCTCTCAAAAGAAATTTCAATCGTTGTACTGTTGATATTTGGCCCTGTTGACTAATGAGTTTGCCGACCACTGCCCTAACCAGTTTGGCTCAGCGGATAGAGCGTCGGCCTGCGGACTGAAGGGTCCCAGGTTCGATTCTGGTCAAGGGCATGTACCTTGGTTGCAGGCACATCCCCGTAGGGGGTGTGCAGGAGGCGGCTGATCGATGTTTCTAATTCTCTATCCCTCTCCCTTCCTCTCTGTAAAAAAATCAATAAAATATAAATAAATAAATAAATAAATAAATAAATAAATAAATAAATAAATAAATAAAAATTCCTTACTGACCATGTGACATTTGATCTGCAACTTAAAGGAGCAAGCCCTGTGGTTATCTAGCGGGAGAGCATTTCAGGAAAAGGGAACAGCAAGCCGAAACCGGTTTGGCTCAGTGGATGGAGCGTCGGCCTGCGGACTGAAAGGTCCCAGGTTCGATTCCGGTCAGGGGCATGTGCCTGGGTTGCGGGCATATCCCCAGTGGGAGATGTGCAGGAGGCAGCTGATCGATGTTTCTCGCTCATCGATGTTTCTAACTCTCTATCTCTCTCCCTTCCTCTCTGTAAAAAATCAATAAAATATATTAAAAAACAAAAAGGAACAGCAAGTGCAAAGGCCCTGAGGTGGACGTGTGCTTGGCACGTCCAAGGAACAGCAAGGAGGCCGTGGCTGCGGTCCTGGGAGCAAGGGGGTCAGAGCAGAGGGGGAGGTTGGTGAAGGGAGGGGGAGTCTGGCTTCTGTGCGGAGAAGTTGCCCGCACAGGGCGCTGAGTGAGAAGGGATGGGAATTTAGGGGAGCCGCCCACAGGATTTGCTTGTGGGTCAGATGAGGGGTGTGCGAGAGAGAGTCAAGGTCACCTCACCCTCAAGGCTTGAGCCACGGAGGAGGGAGCTGTCAGTGTCTGAGATGACGGACTGAGGCAGGAGCAGTTGGCGGAGAAGGAGTAGAGCCCAGAGCCCAGTGTTGGATGCGTGGAGTCTGAGCTGCTCACTAGACATCCCGGAGCCAGGAGCCCGGGGGAGTCCTGGCTGGAGCGCTGTATCTGGAATATAAAGTTGGGAGCCGTCAGTAAATAAAGGGAGTTAAAGCCACTTGGACGAGGCACCCCGAGCAGCACTTCTCGGACGGACGGACGTTGATGTCCTACCAGTGCCCTGGAGATCTGGCTAAGACGCAGGTTCTGGCCCGAGGCCTGGGCAGGCCCGGAGAGAAGCTGCCAAGACCACACTTTGAAGACCACGGTCTCAGGCATTGCATTGTGCAGCCAGGGCCTAAGGGCGGGTAATGAGCTCCACAGAGGGGCTGGTGCTCAGGATGGAGAGAAAATGGAACAGGTCGGGTTCATGTCACATGGGTATCCATCGGGTCACAAAACCTGGTTTCGGTTATTTGAGCCTGAGTCCCGGGGACGTGATGTTGTCATGGTCACAAAGGTTTGAGAAAACCTGACTTGGGGGTGAAGGTAGCAGAGACGGGGGGAGGCCCAGGAGCCAAGCGTGAGAGGATGAGGAGGAACCGGTGAGGAGGCAAATCAGGCGACCCGGGAGGTGGGAGGGAAACCAGGACAGAATGTTCTAGAAGCCAAAGGAGGAAAGAGGCCTGGATTTGAATGATCCTCTGCTTCTCCTCAGCCCCGTTGCCATGCCCATCTGAGCCTCCGTTTCCCCCCTTGTGAAATGGGGACATGACAGTCTCAGCTCGTTGAGGTGGCTGTGAGGTGGCACTTGGCGTGGGGCTGGGCCAGCGTGTGAGTGGGGGAGGGACTCCCGTTCTGGTCCTGGGCTTCGAGCTCCTCCAGCCCGGCAGGCTGCCCTCCCATTGTGCAGATGAAGAAACTGAGACCCAGACTATGGAGAGGTCTTGCCCGAGGCCACTCAGGGCAGAGCCGGGAGACCCTGACTCCCGGCCGATGCTCTTCCCTCGGCCCCCACGTTCTGCCCGCCCGTGTGGGTCTGACCCTGCGGTGCTCTCCGGCCCTGGCTCCTGGCCTGTGCTGGAGCCGGACAGCCGCCTGGGGGGATCCCTGGGGGCCGCCTAAAATTCCTCCCGTGGCCAGTGGCCAGGGTGGACGTGCTCCGTGCCTTCCTGCAGCCCTGGCCTTCCTGGCCAGCGAGGGGGAGGAAGAGGCAAATTAGTGCACCTGCCCGCTGTGGGGTCCAGGCCCAGGGGCCTGGCCACCGGCCACATGTCTCTCTGGCGTGTGGGTAGGCGGCACCTGAAAGCATCTGGTGGCGGGAGCCCCGCAGGAAACAGATGGCACGCTCCACTGGGGTCGGGAGGGTTTGATGTGGGGTCTGTTTACACAGGTGCGGGCCGGGGTGGGGAAGCCAGGGGGACAGTGCTGAGTCCCCGGCGGGCAGCGGCGGGGCCGTGGCCGGGCCGTGGCCAGGCTCGGCCGGAGGGGCCACGTGGAGAGGGCTGGTCAGGGCCATGGCCTTTGGTGCCCCTGCAGGGAAGGAGCCAGAGGAATGAATCCTCCTCCCCGTCTCCCTCCTTCCCCTCTGATCTGTGCAGGGTGAGGGGGGCTGGGAGAGGTAGATGCGTCCATCTGGGGAGAGAGTGCATCCGGGTGGTAACTTCCTCAAGGTCTGTCCCCAACTGTGAGACCAAGTGACCATCAAACTTTCCGGGGACAGGCGGTCCAGGCTGGGAACCGGTCCCTTCACTGGGGAACAGGAGCAAGGCCTACCTCTCGGTGCCTCCGGTTCCCTAGGCCTCCATGGGCCCCAGCTCTGCCTGGCCTTTCAGGACACCGCATGCTTTCGATAGCTGTATCTCGAGGGTCATAGGGTGCTGGGCTCTGTGGTGGGAACACAGCTCTGCGGAGGCATCAAAGCGGAGAGGCTCACAGAGCACGACCCCACCCAGGCCGGGGGTGGTGCGGGTGGCTTCCCCTCCACCCCTGGGGCCCCGATCTTCTCCTTCCTCCTCGGGGTCTCTGGGGGCAGCTCCAGGCTCACCTGTGGCTCCTGCAGATGTCCTCTCCCTGGCCGTTTCCTACAAGTTCGTGGGCATGTCCACCTGCAGCCTCTCCTCCTCAAGAGAGCTCAATGGGCCTTGTTCACAGCACGGGTGGGGACGGGCTGTGCAGGGTGGAGGGAAGGGGAGGGCGGAGGTGGGAGAAGAGCTTCCTAGGGGATCCCTGTTTTGGCCCCGGGTGCCCTGACTCCCACTCTGGTCAACAATCCTCCTCATCCTGTGACACCCACAGCCCTGGCGACCTCTGTCCTCATGGTCAGCGCAGGGTGGGCGGGGGGTGGCAGAGAAGGAGATGAGCCTGAAGGAGGCAGCCCTGGGGTCTCTGCTCTCCACCCCAGGGGTCTCTCACTTTTCAGGGAGCAGTGGGTTCCTCCTGTGAATGGTGTAATGGCCCCGGCCTGCAGGGTGGCAGTGAGGATTCAGAGCTGATAAGGTGAACGCCTAGGGCGGGCCTGGTGCACAGGGAGCGGTCAGCGCCTGGGGCTGGGTTAACTGCCCCAGTCTGGAGCCTGGGGACACCTCACAGCCACCCCTTGTCCCCCACTGAGACCATCCTCTCCTTGTGGTGCCCCCTCCCCTCCTGCACCCACAGCAAAGGGCAGAGGACCTGCTACATTCAGGTGACGCCCTCCACCCCATGCTGGCCTTCCCGGCCGGCCGGGCATGGCTGGATCTTGGATCTCCTGTGACCGGGAACTAGCCGGGCGGCTGCAGGGCTGGGCGAGCGAGCCTTCCCCAACTCCCTACCCGAGGAGCCACACCCGCCCTTCCCAGCCTGGGGCAGCTCCTGGGGGGGGGGGGGGCAGCACACTCCTGCCCGCTCCTCCCAGAGGCCCCCAGGCCTCCGGCCTTCGCTTCCCTCCCTGGCCCTGGATTTCGCCATCTGTGACTCAGGACAGGTATGACGAGAAGGACCCCCTGGCTCCACCCCCTCTATGGGTCCTGCCAGCACACATCAAGGTTTATTTTCTCAAAGCCCAGCCCGGCCAGCACCTTCTGCTCCATGTGTTCCCCTCCCTGACCCCCTGTGGCCTCAGGATAAAGTCCTGGCATTCAAGGCCCCCTCCCAAAGCAGGGCCAGCGTCTGCCTCTCCAGCTTCCTGTCCCCACCACACCCCTGCGTGTCCCCCTCACCTCCTTCTTCCACCCCACCCCCACTCACCCAGTCTTTCAAAGACTGGGCCTAAATGCCACCTCCTCCAGGCAGCCCAGGCCTCCTCCTCTGAGCTCCTTGGGGCCTGACCCTAGGTGCTTCCCATAACGAGCACCACGATGGACAGAGTTGGCACTTACTGTTTGCAGAATGAACAAGGGACCGTTCTGGGCTTGTCTCCAGGCTCAGGGAGCACTGCTGAGGAGCACTTCCTGTGTGCCAGGCCCAGGGCTCAGCGACGAAGTGCCCCCACCTCTGGGAATCTCACAATAGCCTGGCGAGGAAGGCACTGTTGCACCCACTTTACAAACAGGGTGACCGGGGCTTAGGGGGCTTGTTCAGGGTCTCATAGCTCAGGGAAAGCGGGCAGGATTCTGAACCCAGGGCCATCTGGGTTCAGAAACGCCATTAGAGTGAGTCCTTTCATTTGGGGCTGCCTTTTGTCTCTGAAGGATTTTCCGTCCGTGGAGGGGACAGGCCCAAAGTGTGAATCTCTGGGCAGCTCCCCAGTTCTCTCTCGGCCTTAAGACCCAGTCCCAGCAGCCATGCCAGGCCATGTGCCATGCTGGGCCTCAGTTTCCCGGCTGGATAAACAAGGAAAGGACAGCCAGTGTCATGCTACGCATTAAGCCAGCTTTGGTGCCTAATGAGATCTGTTCGAATCCCAGCTCCACTGTCTTTCTGGGCCAATTATCTGACTTCATTAGGCCTCTGTTTCCTCATCTGCAAAATGGGAACGCTGACTTCACGGTGCTGTGAGCTCCACCTGGAGCGTCTGGGCGAGGGCCTGACTCCTGAGAGGTTCGCTTGGTGGGCTATTAGGGTGATTGTTTCCATCTGCCCCGGGGGCTGCCCGCCAGCCCAGGACAGGGTGGGATGGGAGGGTGGGGTGCGTGGGGAGACAAGCCTGGAGCCTAGGCCCTCCCACCCCACTGCCTCCCCCCTCCCCAGGGCCCCCCACCCAGCGACAAAGCTCAGTGGCACTTCCTCTCCCGCCTGGCAGGCCGCCTGGCCCAGCCCCTTCTCTAAGGAAGCGCATTTCCTGCCTCCCTGGCCTGGCTGGATGAGCCAGGAGCTCCCTACCGCTGCCGGCCAGACCCCAGCCTCCATCTGCAGCCCGGACCGCGGCCGTCCACAGGAGCCCAGCAGCCCCTTCCCACTCGCCCCGAGGCCAGTGACGCCCTGCCCGGCCCTGCGCCCTGCGCCCACTTCTCCTGACCAACTTGGCCGCCACCTCAGAAGGCTGGAGCAGGGACGCCGTCGCTCCGGCCGCCTGCTCCCTTCGGGTCCCCGCCTGAGCCCACGCCGGCCCCTGCTCCTGCCCGCGGCCCTGCCCCTGGACACCGGATAAGGCCCAGCGAACGGACCCCCGGGCGCACAGCATGGACCGCAGCACGCTCTGCCCGGCCGTGGCCCTGCTGCTGGCCGTCTGCAGCCTCAGCCCCACAAGTAGGTGCCCAGGGACCCGGTGGGGAGGCCCTGCTCGTGCGCGGTGGAGCTGGCCTGGGGGGTGGACAGCCCAAAGCAGATGCCATGGGGTGACCACCCTCCCGGCTTGGCAGGAGCAATAGCTTCCAGCCCTGAGAGTCTCGGGCGAACGGAAGTGAGTTCTGTCCCTTACCCCTGGCCTCCGGCCTCCGGCCTCCCGGCCTCTCCCCAGGAAGCCCAGCGCGCGGTACAGCCCCCGGGAGTCTCCTGCCCTCTCTGGGCGGCCGTCTCCCACCGGAGGACCGCGTGGGAAGGAGGGCGAGAGTCCTCATGTTTGGATCGGGCTCTGGGCTGTGGTTAGTTCCTGGTGGTGTGATCTTGGGGAGCTACCTTGGGCCTCTGAGCAAAGTGGGGATGGTAACAGACTCACCGGCTGCCGGGAAGTCGGCGTTTTGTTGCGGCAACGCCTGTAGTGAGATGGCTCAGCAGGCTGGCTGCTCTGTGCTGTTTTATTGCTGCTGTTTTATGATTAGCCTTCAATCCTCCACCCTCGCCTTTCCTGGGGCTGTGAGCCGCCCTCAAACCCCAGGGCTCTCCCGGCCACTACCCCTGCTCTACTTCCCAAGAAGCCTGCAGGTGGGGGTGCAGTCCCAGGTGAGGGTTTCTGGGGGGAATCCTTGGCCTGGGGGCTTTTCCAGGGGGTCATGACCTCAGCTGCCTTAAACTCCCCATGAGGAGCCATGGGGAGTCTGCATCCACTTGCTGTGGACACCCCTTCAGCCACTGCGCGCCCAGGAACTCCCAAGGATCTGGGGGGCGGTGAGAAGTGGAGCAGCAGCGGCCTCCCCTCCTCGCCTTACCCCATCCACAGCATTTTAGGGGCCCCAGTCCTTGGTCTCTGAAGTTCTTATCGCCGCCCTGGCCAGCGTGGCTCAGGTGGTTGGGCCTTTGTCCCGTGCACGGAAGGGTCGTGGGTTTGATTCCCAGTCAGGGCACATGCCCAGGTTGCGGGTTCCATGCCCAGTCTCGGTGCCTACGGGAGGCAACTAATCAACTGATCGATGTCTCTCTCTCTCTCTCTCTCTCTCTCTCTCTCTCTCTCTCTCTCTCCCCCTCCCTCCTTTTTCTCTCTCTCTAAAATTAAGAAATATTTCCTCGGGTGAGTATTAAAGTTCTTACCGATGCCTCACTGAGAGACAGGAACCGGGAACCGGAGCCTCAGACACTCAGTGACTTAGCAGGGATTTGACCCCAGGCCTGTGGCTCCGTGGAGCTCTTGCTCCTAACCAGGGGGTTACAGCAACCCCTTTGGATACAGCTCCCCATTATGGCCCCATTTTACAGGACAGTAAGTGGAGGCTGAGGCCCACCAAGCTCACACAGCTGGATAGGAATCCTACTTGATCTCTCCGGGAGCTGCCCGCCTTTCTCCCGCAGCCCCCACATTCCTGGCTTCATGACATTCTCTTCCTCTTGGTCATCAGAGAAAGATCCCTGCAGATCCTTAGGGCCTGGTTTTATAGGATCCAAGGCAGTGGTGTGATGGCAAATAATTAACAGGGAGGATGGGATGGGTAGGGGCTAGCACTTGTTAATTTCTGTGGTGTAAATGTTCCCAGTGGCTGATTTCCAGCTACCAACTCACCAAACTCAGAGTTGGTCCCAGGTGCCCAGAGGACACCCTTATGTCGTATTTCCATCACAAGCGCCAGATGTAGATAACCTTAAAAGCACAGATAAGGACAGAACCTGGCTGGAGATCCTGGCTAGAGAAACCGGCTAGGCTGCTGATCGACTGAAAAAAAATAAATAAATAAATTAAAAAAAAAAAAAAAGGACAGATAATAGTGAAATGGAGTAAAATAATTAGGAAGTAAGAAATTTGATATTTATTGCCTTTAAAAAAATACAATTTATTTCATTGTAAGCGTATTAAATTTTAATAATGTTTGACAGTCAATTGGAAAATCTCTTGATAATTTACCAGTCTGCTCCTGTGAGCAGGTGCAGGTACCCAGGGTCCCAGGGTCCCAGGGCATTCCAAAGCATCCAGCCCAACTCATGGTCTGGGAAACTGAGGCCCATGGAGGGCAGGTGGGGGTCTAGCCAAGGCATGGAACCCAGATCTCCATCCCATTCAGGCTGGAGGGGGTGCAAATGGGTCCAAACCAGGTCCCGCCTTCTGGGGACACAGCTGGGCAGAATTAACTTGTAATAACAGCCCAACCTTCAGAACTCAGCCCTGGAGAGTTCCCTGCCCGGCTCTTTAAGGATGTATAGTGCCCAGGTAGCTCAAGAAAAACTGGAGACGGCCCAAATGTCCATCAGCCTGGGCCCCATTAAATGAATGATTACGCCGTGGAACAGCCTGCAGCCATTGTCAAGAAAAACCTAGTTCTGTGTCTACACTGCTGTGGATAGGTATCTGGGACACATGATTCATTTCCTTAAGAGGAAGACCGCAATAACACACAATATACGTAGAGAACCCTGAGGTCCCTGCGATGCTCGCTAGCATCAGGATTTTCACCTTTATGACACACGTTTCTGTTATGTTGGAATTTTTTTTGTTTTGTTTGTTAGTCCTCGCCCTAGGATATTTTTCCATTGATTTTTAGAGAGATGGGAGGGAGGGGGAGAGGCTGAGAGAAACACATCAATTGGTTGCCTCCTGCACATGCCCTGAGGGGGGCTGAGGATCAAGCCTGCAATCCTGCAACCGAGGTACATACCCTTGACTGGAATCGAACCCGGGACCCTTTAGTCTGTGGGCCGATGCTCTATCCATTGAGCCAAACAGGCTAGAGCTTGATGGAATTTTTTTTTTAATATATTTTATTGATTTCTTACAGAGAGGAAGGGAGAGAGATAGAGAGTTAGAAACATCGATGAGAGAGAAACATCGATCAGCTGCTTCGTGCACACTCCCTACTGGGTATGTGCCCACAACCAAGGTACATGCCCTTGACCGGAATCGAACCTGGGACCCTTGAGTCCGCAGGCCGATGCTCTATCCACTGAGCCAAACCAGTCAGGGCTGGAATTTTTTTTAAAGAACACACATGTAGAGATTTTTTTTAAAAAATATATTTTATTGATTTTTTTACAGAGAGGAAGGGAGAGAGATAGAGAGTCAGAAACATTGATCAGCTGCCTCCTGCACATCTCCTACTGGGGATATGCCTGCAACCAAGGTACATGCCCTTGACCGGAATCGAACCCGGGACCTTTCAGTCCGCAGGCCGACGCTCTATCCACTGAGCCAAACCGGTTTCGGCAACATGTAGAGATTTTAAAAAGCAATTTAACTATATATTCACTTCCATTTGCTTCTCAAAGGAAATAGATAACGGGAAAAAAAAATGTTAGCATGCTGGTGGGTCGCTGACTAGTTTTTCTCTAGCTTTTAAAGGTAATTTTAATGCAGGCAGATTAACATTCAGGTGCCTTGTGTACCCCTCCCATGTCCCAGAGGTTTCTATGTTGCATGTGGACTCCATAACCATCCCGTTGTGGTCTGGCATCTTCTCTCCCGTAAATGTGCTTCCCACCGTTGACCTAATAAATTCACTATTGTTGAATATCTAGGTGATTTCCCCTCTGGGGCTAATTATAAATACCACCTCCGTGCACATTTTTGGTACATGCACCTTTTCCTGTATTTTGTAATATTTCACTTGGATAGAGTCCCAGAAGTGAGGGTGCTGGGACTGTTGGCCCATGTTGGGTGGCTGGGATCAAAGGGTGTTTTTCTAAGTGTGGATGAGTGTTCACTGGAGGACAGGCCAGAGGCTGGACTTGGAGACCCCGGGTGGGGGTCGGGACTCTCTGGAGAGGGGGCTAGTGACACAAGACAGAGACCACACATATCCATGTCTTAGGGGCTGCATTCTGTGGCAGCTCCCCTTTTTGTTTCTTTCTTTATATTATTATTATTTAATCTTCGCCTGAGAATATTTTTTTAAAACATTTATTTTAGAGAGGGAGGAAGGGAGAGAGAGAAAAAAACACATCGATGTGAGAGAGAAACATGGATCGGTTGCCTCCAGAACAGGTGCGGATGGGGATCGAACCTGCAACCTGGGTATGTGCCCTGAGTGGGAATCGGACCTGTGACCCTTTGGTGCACAGGACGAACCTCCAACCAATGGAGCCACTCTGGCCAGGGTAGGCAACTTTCCTTTTGCCAGGGGGAAAAGGAGGCTGGGACAGGAACTGTGTGAGCCAGGAGAAGTTAGGTCCCTGGAGCCAGTGGGGATATGGCCATTAAGACTCTCTCCCCTCAGCCAGGCAGATGGTAACAGTAAGACCCAGAGGGAAAGAGAGCGCCATCTCAGCTCACAGGGGGGTCAGTGCTGGGCCCGCTGAGGACAGGCCTGGTCTATTTGC